ACGAACTCGACAGACGTTACAGAGAAGGTACATGTACATACGTAAGTACGTATAAGGTTGTTCGTGTGGGTTCGTCGTGACGAAGTAAGAAGAAGAAGAAAAAAAAAAATGTGTCGTGATCTCCTGTAATTTTGCAGTACCGCCTAAAATCGATCCGTTTAACTTTCCTGACAATATACACGAAGGCGCGCGGGTGCACATGGCCTGCGTAGTCAGCGAAGGCGATTCACCGTTGAAGATCACCTGGCTGAAGGACGGCAGGCCATTGAATTCCACGGAGACGACCACCCATCATATCGGCGAATACGATCTCACGTTGATGATACAGAGCGCGACCACGGCGCATAATGGCAACTATACGTGCGTCGCGAGCAACGATGCCGCGGAAACGTCTCGCATGGCATCGCTATTGGTTCACGGTATGCAGGGACGAGCACGGTTTTCACCATCTCCCTCTCCCCCTTTCTTCGTCGATTATTGAAAAAAAGAATAAGAAAAAAGAGAACGTTCCTTTTCACGTTCCGACGATTTTTCTCCAAATTTAACAGCCACCTTGAGAAAACAACCCCTGTCTCGCTTTGTGAAAACGCGTCGATGCCGCGACGAATCACGGTGGTGCGTATTTTTTGCATTTGGTCGAGAGAAAAGATATGGATTCTGTCGGGTAATACAATGAAGTTGGAGTAATTTCTACGAGTGTATAATATAGGATGAACGCGTTGAGTTTTCAATTTTCACCACCGTGATCAGAGAAACGGCATCGCGAACGCGTACAATCACCCGTGAATGAAAAGTTCGCGCGTCGCGAAACGACGCGGCGAAGCGTTTTCCGCTCGTCAGCCGACAACTTTTCAGCAACCGCGCGAACCATTCACTCTCCCCCTTTCTCTCTCACCCCCTTGCCTTCTACGAAGCTCTTTTTTTCTCTCTACCTCTGTCTCTCCCACTCTCTCTCTCTCTCTCTCTCTGTACGGTGGCGGTCACCAATTTCAGCCACGATCGTCTTTTATTTCCAACCCCCCAATTCCGACAACTCGGTTAGCAAAATTTTCCGTTCGGTTCCCAGCCTGTCTCCCATTCAAAACAGCCGACGAACACGCCCGACGTATGATTTCACGCTCTATTTTCTCTCGTTTCTATTCTACCCGACCGCGTTTTCGCGACCTCCTCTTTTCTCTCTCTCTCTCTCTCTCTCTCTCTCTCTTTCTCTCTTTCTAATAACTTCCCCACCCTGGGCTCGGGGATAAATTCTGCAATTGCCGCTGACGAGGGAGGCCGGCGTGGTATGGCCGTGAAACGGCCAGGAAAAACGAAGGAAAAAGTGTACCCGTGGTGGCATCGTCGATATTAATCGTCACGCGGCACTCGACAGCCCAGGACTTCTCGACCGGTTGGAAACTCCCGGCGCAAAAGCGCGCAAGATCAATCGTTGCCACTCTTCATCCTCCGGGCGAGGATTCTCCTCTCCCCCTTCCTCCTTCCTTTTTCCTCTCTCTCTCTTTTCTCCTTTTTCCCTCCTTTTTTCCCCTGTTTCCCTCCCTCGTCGCTCTTTCCATGCTCGTTTGCGTGGCACACGCGACCAACCGAGCCGTTTCCTCCTCGCTCGTGCCCACAGCCAGCCAGCTCCGCTTTTCCTCGTTTTCGTCGTCTGTCGGGGCGGTTGGCATTAAAAACCACCACCAGCCACCACCACCACCACTACTACCCCCCTCAAGTTCTCTCTAGACGAACAAATCAGTGCAAGCGGAACGAACGAACGAAACTCTTGGCCGACGTACGAAACGAACGGCCTAAGGGTGATTTTAACGTGTCGTGCCGTGACAAGCGGCGAGCCGAAACAGCATCCTCGGTTACGCGCGTCGTCGCGACGCGTCTCGCTCTGTGTGCACGCTACCGTGTGTACGCGTGCAACCACTGTCACTGTAAATGATCGTTGGTTTTTTTTTTTCATGTGACTTTTTCTTTCTTTTTCTCGTTTTTTTTTTTTTTTGCTCCTGCTAGTAGGATGGATTAAGAGTCTGAGGGTCTGGCCCTTGGGCTGTAGACTTTGGATCGTTATGTGCGATCGATACGAGATGCACTCGATGGATTTAATTGATCTGTTTTATTCAGTTTTTATTTTTGGAAATTTGGGGAGAGAACCTTGGGTGTCTGACGACGGTGATTTGTCAATGGTATAGTCGGTGGAAGCGATACAACGGGGTAGTAAAATTTATCAGGCGTCAAAGTTAAAGTAGCAAATGTCAACTCAGAATTTCTTTTGCACGGTAGTATATTTAGAATATTTGCGTATCAATCTCTAAGAAAAAATATCAACAGAAACTTTACAACGACACAATATCCTGCGTGCAATATCGTTCAATATTTCAATTCACAACCTCGCTGTATCGCTTCCGTCAACTGTACTTACAGACTCCCCGTTCTTCTTAACTTCTCCCACAAAGTATCAAAGTACACACAAAAATTCTACAAAGAAGTTCCTCAAAAAGTGTACTCAGGTACGCGATACCCTCCAAATTTACAATTCCACCAGCTATACACCCTGTCTCCAAACCAAATCCTTGGAACGTTCCTCGAACACTACAAACACAGTCGCGTCCATCATCCCGCGAGTAGTTTTTCCCGTAAAACGATGAACGCCGCGCCGGTAGGATCATCCGTGTGTATTTTTCTCCCTTTTGTTTAATTACTGGAGTGTGCAAGGCACGAAACTCGTCACAGAAACGGCGTTCTCTTTCTGTTGGAACAACGTCAGCCGTGTTTATCGTCAAACACATATGAATTCGTTTTGTTTGTTCGTTTATCGAACTGTCTCGCTGCACGTAACTCGGTTGATACCGTGTGCATACATACACACAAACACATGAATATCTAACGCGTATCGGTGTACGTCACATGCACCTGCACACCGTAAGGGCGATGGCACTCTTTAGGCATTACTCATGTAACGTTGCGCTATCTGCCGCGAACCAACCCCCCCGTTCGCTGCTCGGTTTCTCAATTATTCTCAAACAACCAGCCACGTTCTGTTCTAATACCTCCGGGCCACTGGATGTACCCGGGGATACGCGCTCCTGTATATCTCTTTCTATGTAACCGGGGCCAACGAGGCGAGTTATTATTGTCGTTCTACGGCATTACGTCCGGTTTCCGCGACGAGACCTGCCCCGTACTGAACAGTCGGCGAAATATTCGCGATGGGGGAACGTTTTCGTTCTCACAATGCCCGTATTCGTCGCCCCTCGACTATATTTCGAACAGCGCAAAAAAAACACCGAAATTTACGCGCGATGATTAGAATGGAATTTTTTTCGATTTTGCCAAACGTGATGTTAAATACACTATAAGCTCGTCTTATATCGACCCGTCGCTAATGGAAAAGAGGTGCGTGTCCAATTGGAAAAATTTTCAATTTCAGCTTAGATATTAGGTGTTACATCGCGAGGATAGAGCGGATATCCTACGAAACGGTAGGAGCGATATCTCGATAATTCCAAAGGCTTTCAGTACCTTTAATTAACATAAATAGCTGGTTTATTTCGTTAACGGACCGCCATTGGTTCGCGCTATAACCATATCGAAGCGACCCCCGTGACTTCGTCAATATTAATACGATTCTATAGATATAGATATATGTATATAATGGCGTACGCGTAATGACGCACAGCCGAGTTGATAAGCAGCGTTGATGTTATCGCATTACGCCTACCCTGCCCCAGCGTCCATTACGGGCGGCGTAATACACGCGCGAGCCACACACAGCCGATACGATAGATTCGAGCGTCGCTTCAATAAGGTTAATGGACTTAGAAAGGTGTAATCCTTCAAAGGACATCGGTTTGCATGGCCGAGAAGCGAGCTCGATGCAGAGATGCTGCACGTGAAATCCCCTCTTTGGCCAACTGACATTTGCCTAGCAGCGCTCTCAACCAGATTACCAATTTCGCCCGTTCCTAGCGGTGCAACGTATAACGAGAGTGACATTTCGATGGATACATTGTGTTGCTTCGCTTTAATTGAACAAACTACCTGGTACATTATATGAAAATTCGTTGAACAACGTGAAATACTTCTAAGGATATAGCTTGTAATCGAAGGTTCGTGGGGCAACTAGCGCAGAGAGGGATGATATTTGGTCGTCCTGAAAGTTCATGCGGCTTTATAACGTTCTGAAATTAAACACTTTTGGTTCGAATAATTTAGAAATGTATTAAGAGAGAATTAATTTCATGTACGTAAAAATTCGAACGAATCTTCCCGACTCAAAGCTAATTTACGCTCGAGAAATATCCTGCTCACAATTTGGTGGTTTATTTCGGAATTAATAATATGTTAAAAGAGAATTAATTGCGTGTACATAAAAATTCGAACCTCTAAGAGAAAAAAATCGTGCTCACAGTTTGGTGGTGTATGTGGGAATTAATTCACTGTACTTTCCTGAGACCTGGTACCATTATCGCTGCAGATTCATAAAGTAGCGAATTGGATTTCAATGGATCTTGTTTTTTCTATGAATGGCTTAAAATCGTAGAAACTTACAGGATGACCTAACACATCTAAGTACACTCATAATCCAACACGAAGGATAATAATTCCCAAGTAAGATCCACGCAAACGAGAAAAAAAGCTGCCAAGGACTCTCTATCCTTCACTTTTAGTCGCGCCAAGGATCTTCATCCGTCTCGATAAATCCTCACTGTCGAATACTCCAAAGCATAGGCGTACGCTAAACATTTTCGAAGCACCTAAACTCGCATCGATCATTCAACAGAGGAAGCGTGTCAACGGCGATGCAGACATCCCCGGAACTCTGGACCATGGAGAGAGGAGGATCTGACGATCGAAATCCCGCCTGTACTCTGCTAACCCCGTCTACACATATGCACAAACGTCGACATGATATATTACACACTTGCACACGCTTTACACACAAACGCACACACACACACATCGTTTATGACACACACGCTCACCGCTTGAATCTCTTTTTTTTTTCACAGTTCCACCTACGATAGCTCCCTTTAGCTTTAACAAGGATCTGTCGGAGGGCGTGCGTGCTCAGGTAACTTGCATGGTCGAGAAGGGCGATCCTCCGTTCACGATCGCCTGGTCCAAGGACGGCGAGCCGATCGCCGGGCCCAGTACAGCTGGCTTCGGGAACACCGGGATAACCGGTCCCAGACACACGCAGACACCCGCCGGGCTACGCGTAACCAACATTGACGCCCATTCCAGTACCATAGTTATCGAGCGCGTGAGCGCAGCGCACACCGGCAACTATACTTGCCTGGCGCGCAATTCGGTGGCCGAGGTCCTCTGGACGGCCGAGTTGATCGTTCGTGGTAAAGTAGACCGAGAGAAAGCCGCAGCCGGCGGGCAAAGCTCGTAAAAGAAAAAAATATCGAAAGCACTGTCTCACTTCTTCGTTTGTTTTTTTTTTCGAAATGTCGTTCACTCACTCACTCTATATCTATCTCTCTACTCACACCTCACTATTTTCTGTTTTATTTTCTTGCACCTGGCTGCGCACCACTTGTCACTGTCTATACATCTTTGCCGATATATTTATCTCTGTGTGCACCGGTTGACTTGTACTTAGCAAACGGAACGTTCGATTGCCTCTCGCGTTTTTGTCACAATTTTCTCGAGTGTGATGTAAGTGTGTGTTTTTGTGACTTCTCTTTTTCGAAGTGTTACTTCAACGAGAATTTTCGCGCTCGAGGATCTTTGAATTTTCACGCCAGGCAGAGGGTTCGCGGCGAAATGATTATTGCGGTGTTATTTACGCCGGTGAGAAATTGCCATTGGAGTGTTTAAACGGTTGTCCATATCGTTAGCGGCGCAAGGGGCAATTAAACGGTCCCGTGAGCCGGCCCGTGCATATTTACATTCTATATTGTAATTGTTATCATTGGTATTGTGTAATCACGTGTAAACGCAGCCGTGCAGCCGCAGCAGCCGCCGCAGCCATCGCAGCCGCGAAATAGCATGGGGACGTGTCTAGCTAGGGCTGCGGGTTCTTTCGTCTTTCACTTTGCTCTCGGTTATCTTACCTGCTTTATCCACTCTATCAAATTCATCTTGAGGATCGAACGTAAAATCCAAATTCGTCTTTTTTTCCCTTTTTTTTTTCTAATTACCAACAAACGTGACTTATCGTCGAGTATATACGTATATCTGCCACAGAGAACCGTCGATGCGATAACACTAGTACACAGTTTACACGATACGTCTGTACAGAATGTACAGGACCGTGGATTGGAAACGACACGAACGAAATATTTGTCTCTCGCGTTTCACAAATAATACTATTTTTCGACGATAGTCCACCGTTGGACACGTGCAAACGAAACTCTCTGTACGCACACATAGATCCGGGGTAACCGAGATGATCGTAAAACGAAACGCAGCAGCAGCAACAACTCCGCCCAGCCAGCAACGCGACGCACCAACGCACTTGAGCACAGCACAATAATTACGATAGCGTTTATCTCACCCACCGATCACGCCGTACTTTTCTTCTAATATATAGTTGTGTATCTATCACAGGCGCACCAAATCTATGATAATAATCGCACTGTTTCCCGATCTTCGAGTAACACGAGTTTACCGCGATCCGCGAAACGATTCCTCCGGTTTCTCCCGGTTTTCGTAAAAAGAAACTCGAGGAAAGTTCGTTGCGGCTTTTTTGTCGACGGACAGAAAAGTATCGCAAGTCCGTAAGAGAACGTCGAAAGGATAAAGAGATAAGGAGGGTCGAGTAAAGGAAGACACTGCCCTGGAGAGTGGTAGAAAAGCGTGTCTGTGTGTACGCGATAGCGTAGTTTGGGATCTTGAAATTCGACGACACGGGAACAGCGATCGCGGTACTCTCCGAACGAAAGGGATTCTGCATGAAAGGGCACCAGCCACTTTTGCGAAATTCGGCTTCGGCGTAGCACCACTTCATCTTGAATTTGTACGAGTACCAAGCAGCCAGCAGCAGCAGCCTCGAAGTTCAACTTGGAACACCGATTCTCGGCTCGTTCACTTGATCAGCACACGCATATAAATGCACCAATACACGTTCTGTTCCTTTCTTTCTTTCGTTTCTTTTAGTCATCGTCGATGTCTTCTTATTGTCCATTATTTCGTTCTGTTATCGCCTGGTCCTAGTACCTCCTACCACCTTTCCGTCTTGGTTGTATTTCATCGAGAAGTCGATTATGGACCACTTGGCACCAATTCCTTCCGCGCGACACCAGCCTTATTGTTTCACCCGGAAACACCGCTCCCGTGTTCCACCCCGAGGCCACTTAATCGACGGCTACGTATAAATTGCACCGATTGAACGTTGTTACGTGGCGAATAATTGATCGTAGCTGAGACCGTAGAGAAACTATTTCGGGAAGAATCAGTGGGTAACCGAGTTTCGCGTTGTTTTCTCCAAAGAAAAAGCGAAAAGATCGAGAAGAAGGAGCGGGTGTAGAGGGGATGACGTTGAAGCTACGAATTATTCGCCATGTACCGCTGTTTCTGCTGATACGTGCACCGAAAATAATTGGCCGACGCAAATATTTGAGCAAGAGCACACAAAAGGCCTTGGCCCCTCTCACGAGTATGTACGCAAATGCACAATCACCGCCATTGTTCTTCAGTGAAAATGTCCGCACAGCACTGATTTCTGCAACGCTCTCACTCTCTTTCTCTATCTTTCTCTCTCTCTCACTCACTCACTCTGTCTCTCTTTATATATATATATATCACTGTGGCCCCTACGATGTTTACCGTATCACCGTTATTTAGATCTGTTCTGTCACCAGAAAAATTGTCGAGCATATAAAGAGCACTGTTCTTCCCTTTTTCACCGACACACGCGCACTTTCCACTTTTTCTCACCGCCCCTTTTGTCTCTTCGCTGTCTCTCGTTCACTTTATTAAATCGCGTTTACATATCTACCTATCGCGTTATCCTTCTCACTGTTCCACTTTTGCCTGTATTATTATCGCGGTCGACACAGGGAGAGGAATTGACCGCGCAACGAGTGCCGTACTTAAACGATCGATGCGATCCCACGAGAAAGCAATAGAAACTCGTGTTTGCGTTCTTTTCTCTCCCTCGGTTGGCCGCACGCGCACCCCTCAAAATTACGTCTTTTGTTTCACTTTGCGCTGAAGTAGGAAGTTGCAGTAGGCCAATTCGAGAAAGTTCGCTCTTGCCTCGGCGCAATAAGCTTAGATACGAACGCAGTGGCATCTGAAATATTCTCTCCCTCTTGTAACTCCTTCACGCGAAACAGAGGAAAACGGGGAAGAGGAAGGAACCATCGTGGAGAACGTCCCTCTCTCGTACTTTCGCCCGTCGATTCCACCCTCTGTTTCCTGCAAAATCATCGAATTCGCAATTCCGGTTCGGGAATAACCGCGTTTCACCGTCCTTCTATTCTCTCCGGCAACGAAATACCGCGGGAACTAACAAGCTCGACCGCGATAATTGCTGGAAAAAAGCGAGGGAAGAGAGAGGAGACGCGCGGCCTGTCAGGCAGCGGGGGATCCATTAAAAGTCGACGAGATCTGCAAGTAAAATCGTGGGGTGGAAGGAGGCGGCGCGGCGGTACGATGAAATTTCAGATGCCACGGTGGTCGTGGTCGTCGACGGTGCGCGAAAGCCGCCTCTCTCTCTCTCTCTCTCTCTCTACCGAACGCCAGTATTCCGGCTAACTAACCACCTGTGTTTGTGTGTGTGTGTTGTGCCGCGAAACAGTGCCGCCCCGTTGGGTGATGGAGCCCCAAGATGTCCGCGCTTCCGAGGGGATGCCGAGGCTGGTGCTTCATTGCCACGCGGATGGGTTTCCGCCGCCGGCGGTCTCGTGGCGACGTGCTAGCGGCAATAAACCGGGGAATTATCGCGATATCGTCACGCACGAACACACGCAAGATTTAAGGATACACTCGAACGGATCGTTGGTGTTTGGAAGGGTGCAGGAGGACCATGAGGGATTTTACTTGTGCGAGGCGGTGAACGGAATCGGAGCTGGACTTAGCAAAGTCGTACATCTGACTGTGAACGGTAAGGCGCCTCCTACTTCACCCTGGGGACAGATCTACGGGGCTGTTTCTGCACTCTACTCGGTTTTTCCTCGGTTTTCTTCGATGGTAGAATTATTGCGAAGGACGAAGTGGTGAAATCTGGATGTGTTGTACATGGGGTGGTTTTGGGGATTTGAAATTTGGTTTGGTATGTGTGTATGCAGTTGTGTTTTCCTTGCTTTTGTTCGATGGTAGAATTATTGTGGAGAAGTGGTGGAAGCTAGAAATGTTATACAAAGGGTGGTTCTGGGGATTTGAAATTTGGTTTGGTATGAGTGTATGCAGTTGTGTTTTCCTTGCTTTTGTTCGATGGTGGAATTATTGTGGAGGAGAAGTGTTACATAGAGGGTGATTTTGGAGATTTGAAAGGATGTTAAAAAAGTGGCAAATTTGTAGCACTTCAGGCACCTAAAATTTTGACGAGGCATCATTCTATAAGTCCTAAGGTGAAGGTAGTAAAACTCAAGGTAGTAAGGTAAGTTCAAACTCAAATGCACTCACGTCACATCAATTCCATGAAATACTTTGTTTATATATTATTGTTGGACATATTTGTGGGTGCAAAATAGGCCAATGTGTAGCGGGGTGTTGTTCACACGTTGCAACAGTATTCACCTGCCAACTTCCTCAACCAATATTTTACCGAAGAAATGTCATCTGAAGAAGAGAAGGATCAATATTTTACCGAAAAAATGTCATCTGAAGAAGAGAAGGATGAAATATAATAACAATTCGATGCATTTCATCTTGTTTTAGAAGTAAGTTACAGTAGAATAGCGAACACATTTCACGGAATATTTGCATGGTAGCACCTTATCTTAATTTCTCGCGTTTTATCGTTATTAATTAGCAATTTGAGCAATATGTTTTTACACACTATATAAATATTGACTTTCCTCTATAGAATAGCGTTTGAATTTTTTTCATTTCATGCATTCATCTCAAAGTCAGAAAGTTTCAATTCGAATTTCGAAGTACCGTCAACTTCATCTACATTTTTTATAACTTTCCCATCACATTTCAGATAAATAATTGTGCATTTATGATGCCGCAGGACTTATAGAATGGTGCCTCGTTAAAATTTTTGGTGCCTGAAATGCTACAAATTTGGCATTTTTTTAACATCCTCCTTTGGTTTGGTACGAGTGTATAGAGATATAGTCTGTTTCTACAATCTACTCGGTTTTTCCTTGCGTGCTACAAATTTGGCATTTTTTTAACATCCTCCTCTGGTTTGGTACGAGTGTATAGAGATATAGACTGTTTCTACAATCTACTCGGTTTTTCCTTGCTTTTGTTCGATGGTAGAATTATTGCGGAGGAGAAGTGGTGAAATCTAGAAGTACTACACAGAAGGTGATTTTGGAGATTTGAAATTTGGTTTGGTACGAGTGTATAGAGATATAGTCTGTTTCTACAATCTACTCGGTTTTTCCTTACTTTTGTTCGATGGTAGAATTATTGCGGAGAAAAAGTGTTACATGGAGGTGATTTTGGAGATTTGAAAGTGGGATTAATTTGTGAGTATAGAGTTAGAAGAAGTGTTACATGGAGGTGATTTTGGAGATTTGAAAGTGGGATTAATTTGTGAGTATAGAGTTAGAGAATTGTAGAATTTCATGCAAGTGTTTAGTGTGAAACGAGAGTTGAATGAACGGAGTATACTTAAGCAAGAGTGACAGAGGTGCGAAAGAAGAATGTTTCGGACTGAGTACACGAGAATATTGTATGAACGCAGGGTGCCTATCCAAGCATTCGAGTAGATGCGACTGTATATCTCTGAGAAGAGAAAAATGAGAAGAGCAGAAAGTAACAGAAAGATTCTCGAAGATATATGTATAAGGTCAGTGTGTAAAAGTCAACGAGGGTTCCACAGATAATACTTTAATCTCATATAAAATCACACAAAGTTTCATTTTCCATGAAATATATTTCGTTTATTACCTGAAATAACAATCTTCAAAATTGATCATACAAGTGTGTCTTAAAAAAAGCTCCATAAGAAAAACGGGAAGCAAATTTTCGTCTCTATAAAAAGAGAAAACTTGTTCACATAAGCGTTGGTTATTGTTGTCCCCTATAATCCCGCACAGTGCCCGCACACTTCGTGGAGAAACATCGTAACCAAACAGCGAGGCTAGGTTCAAGCGCGTCTCTGCGTTGCGAGGCGAAAGGCGATCATCCCTTAAAAATACTGTGGAAGAAGGCTGGCGCGCACCTTGAACAGAAGCTGTCCGACTATCGGTACACGTTGAAGGAAGAGAACACCACCGACGGTAGTATCAGCACGCTCGAGTTCATCAGCACAAGCCGAGAGGACAGCGGCAGATATTTCTGCATCGCTTCGAACGCCTACGGCCGCGACGAAATGACGATCCACCTGTATATACAAGGTAAAAAAAAAAAGAGAAAAACAAGTGAAAACTTCCGGGAATGCATATTTCACACGCGAAGATTTAACCGCGAGCAGAGATGACAATCTCGACGATCGTTACCTTGAACGTGAATTATTAACGCAACGTCCCCGGTTGCTCCGCGTTAACGACACTCACTCGCAGATAAATCGGGGCAAAAAGAAGAAAAGGAAGAAAAAGAGGAAAAATTAAAGGCCGTTTTTCAAACGATAGACGCGATAATCCACGGTGGTAGCGACGTTATCGGCGTAATGCATCGGCTCATTGCAAACGGGACAATTTCGATAATGTTTCCGGGTTCTTGGTATTTGCATATAACGTTGTCGAGCTACGCGTAATTATCGTAATGTATACGAACGCGCGAGCACACCGAGTCGTCCATTTAATTTAATGCGTTTTCGCACAAGTGCCGGCCGTGCAACCGAACGACAGACGAGATAATCGCCGCGTATCCAGCCCCGCGAAATGAAATATGTTTCGGTCGCGAAGGTTCGCGCGTACTCCGCGTAACAAACCCGTGTACACGCGACAGACAATCCCATCTGATTCCGTTTGCGAAGCATTTGGTGAAATAGTCTAACGAGTGACCCGTATTTATTTTCATCCGGGGATAATTCGACCAGAGCCGCCCGATTTCCCGCGGAATCTTCACGTGATCGAGAAAGGAAGCAGATATATCAATATCAGCTGGACGACCAGCCAAGACGGTAACAGCCCTATCACGCAGTATATCATCGAGTACAAGACAGACACCGGTAATTGACTCTTCAATTAAACGATTCTTTTGTTCGGATGATTTATGAACCTCTCTGGTCCACTGTGCACACCTTAGAGATTTAGAAACATCAACAGAGGCAAAAGAATTTTCTTTACAGCTGTGGTATACTAAAAGGGATTTAGTATACTATACGGATAATACGGAGAAGAGTAAACGAATAATATACTCGAACTGATCATTCAACAGGTACTTCAGATTCTCTCCTAAGGCACGAAACATATTTTACAGAAGTATGGCACGACCACACGTTCCACACGACAGTACCAGGCACCCAGGCTCACGCTCACGTGAGCGGTTTACGTCCAGCTGTCTCCTATCAGTTCCGAATATACGCGGAGAATGAATTAGGCCGGAGTCAGGCAAGCGACGTAAGTATACTCCGAGGAGCTTAAATACGTAACACCGTTCTCATCTTACCAACGCGACAGAGACTGTCATCCCGCGAGTCGATTTATAGCCATGATCGATTTCTTCCCTTGTATATAAGCTTCCTCGACGCGCAATTTTCTTGCTCGCTGAATATACCCCTACCTGCCCTCTTAGGCGACGTAATCGTCGTCGAGCGTGATTAAAATTCCGCGACGTTCCCGCCTCTTATCGCGTTCACGTTCCGATTCGAACGGAACGTGATAGTGTGGAAGAGGGGTGAAATCACGTAGTGAAATCGCAGGTGGATAAAAACGTACGAGAAAAATTCTCCGTATTATCATCGGATAACCGACGCCGCGTGTGCGTCTCTTTTTTTTTTCTTGTCGCTTCCGCAGATTTTGGAAACGACGACAGAAGGGGAGAAACCTGGTGGCCCGCCGAGAAATCTCAAGGTAGATCCTGTCAGCTCGACCGAGTTTAACGTCACCTGGGATCCACCTGATCATGATTTATGGAACGGCGAGATACTCGGTTATCACGTCGGCTACAAGGAACATCGGTAACGATCCTTTTCACGAAGATGACGCACCCCTTTAACGACCAACCCCAGTTCACCTTACTTACAGCCAACGAATACGTTTCGTTGCCGCCGACGGCGTGTAACGTAACGAATCGAACCGCGTATTTCTCGCATAACGCTGATATTCTATACTCAGTTACATGATAAATAACCACAGCCAGCGGCACGCGGTTTTACCGTTTATTCCCCAGCGCGGACCATCGATGCTGAAAATATTTTCCGAACACGTTGCAGCTCTGTGCGTGCGTAACGAACGTACAGACGGGCTGCTCGACCATTATTTTAATATTGTACAGAGTGACCTATTTTTCGAATGGCTAGATTTTAGGAGTTGAGATTAAAAATCGCTTTGGTAACTTTGTACGCTTTTTTCAAACGTTCGATGGTGAATGTATTAGGTCGTGTGATGTTAAGTAGGTTTTTAATTGTTTGTAGATCGATTGGTCGGGGGGTGAGAAGTTCTGCATTTTTTTTTTCCTTTTTTGAGGTTAGTTTCGAGTTCGTGCAGTTCTTGTTAACCCTTTCGTTGCTGTCGGTCCCTGTAGACGCTTTAAAAATTGGTGGAGCTTTCTGGCGCAATTTTAAGGGAGAATTAATTTAATCCTTAATTTCGTTCCCTGCGCAATTCCGCCTTAATTTAACGATATGAATATTGAAACGGTGGTTAACCCCTTAACGTATGATTTCTTTTCTGACTGGGCATCTAAGCGTCAGCCATTTTCTGGTTTCGTACTGTATCAGGTAACTGAAGCTAGTCTGTTACAGATTAATTACGTTTAGTAATTCTCAGTCTTACGAATTCAAACGAAAGTTAGAATTACAATTAATTTTTCCTAGTAATACTATTTCTCTCACATCTTAACCAGAATTTTTGCCAAGCCTGACACGTTGTTGTAGGTTAAGGGGTTAAAACGAACAATTTTGTTCTAAATTCTGTCGCAGCGAAAGAGTTAAGTTGAACTTTCACAACTTTCACATTTCATATTACAAGATTTAACACATTGAATACCGAACCGATTCTGCATAACTTGTCCACGGCGCCGAAAATAATTTTTTATTCCAATGCAACACATCGCAATACGCATAAATAATATGTCAACGGTTAGAAATAAAACTGCTTAAATACACCGTGTGATGCATTAGATGAAAATTTGACAAATACTACCGTTTGTTCAAATTAAATGCTGTCACTAATATAGGCACCGCCGGACACCACGGCATTCAAGTGTTAATCCTTTCCGGTCCTACGTCGAGTCTGACTCGGAACTTTCGCCTTCGGATATCGTACAATGATAAATTCTCAATAATAATAAACCATTTTTATGCATCAATATTACACCGAAACTTAGTATTTTATAACCAATATTACGCTGAAATATTGAAACAAAGGGGCTACTGCCCGAAACTAACCAAATGAGTGCAGGATAACTGGACTCTTTACTGGACCGCAAGGGGTTAGCAGTAATACAATTACTCGTTAAATCAATCACTAAGTTACTCGTTTACTACAAAAATTCTCAGATTGGCGGCGGATCAGTACACCTACAGAACCGTGGAGAGGCGAATTTCAACGGCCAGCGTTGCTCTAGGACTGGCAAGAACATCGATGCCAGGCAGACAGTATCAGCTCGCGAATCTGAAGAAGTTCACACGGTACAGCGTGGTCGTGCAAGCGTACAACGCGCTTGGCCAAGGTCCGATGACACCGGAAGTAGTCGCTACCACCCTCGAAGACGGTAAGGAGAAAGCTCGAACGTTGGCACAGTTTTTCGCGTGATATCGACTCTCCCTATGAATGTTTCAAAACGTGGGGCACCATAGGGACGTGGCATTAGCGAGAAGAGATTTAACGAACACGATTCGTCGCCGTTCAAAAATTCATGAACGGAATAATACCGGAGGCCAGCGTGCCTATCATGAATCCCGCCATGAATACCAACCTTGCCTGTATATCCAGTCGAGTTTCGAATAAATAATAAATTCAGCAGCCGGCTGCCTGGAACTGATCTGCTTGCAAATAAGTTCTTTAATCCTGGCCGTCGTGAACGCGGCCCGGTTAAACTCCCAAGTGCTCTATCTCTCTCTCTCTCTCTATTTTCTCGACGGTGAGAACTTTCGCCCTTCCGCGACAAACTGCGTTTCTTACGGAGGTCTCGCGAGAAGAACCTAGCTTCCTCGCGTTAAAACTGTTCGCAATTGAAATCTCCGGCTGGATTTTAAAAGTTGACGGCTGTTGGTTCTTCTCGTTTCAAAAATTCAGTTCGAAGTTAAATATTGCACTTTGGTCGCTTAACGCTGCAGGGTAGCAAACCGTGCTGTTTGTGTCGCGATTCATCTTAACGGAGAATTTTCAGAAGTCCTTAAGTTACACAATGAGATCGTTATTAAGATTGTTTGTTCTTGGAAGATTTTCATGAATGTGCCCATTAGTAGTTCTTCGTCAGAACTACTGCTTGATTTTATGTCTATCTGTGTGTTTTATTTTAACTTCTAAATTCTTTGACCGATTTGGACCAAAATTTGCATAGCTTCTCTTTAAGATCCCGTGGAAAATTTGGACACTTCACTCTCCCTTTTTGTATAATTACTCTTCAGAATCCTGTGGGAAATAGAAGCTACTATTAAACCTGGACACTTCACTCTCCCTGATTCTCATAAGTGTTTAATTACAGATTTCCGCAGAAACTGATATTCTAGACATGGGAAACTCTGCTTCTAATAAAAAAAAAAAACAATACTAAACAGTAAAGCAAAAATGTCCATAGAGACTCAAAACTACTTAATTTACAATAACAAAAAAACAGAGCCTCTCTCTCTACCTCCCTATTAACTCCCAAACTCTTTGACCACTCTACACCAAATTTTGCATACTTACCATTCTGCATAGTAATTGCATAATTACTCTCCAGGACCCTGTACAAAATATAAGCTACCCTGGAACCTGGACACTCTCTCTGCGATCCCCATTATTGTTTAATTTTCACATTGCCACAAACGCTGATGTTCCACACGTAAAAAACCCAGTCTGCAATAAAAAATAGTCCGAAAAATGCACGATAAAAAATTTGAAAAAACGAATATTCCTACTCCAAGTGAATGAAACCAGGATTAAATCTGATAACTCCTGGTAATTGACTCGCGGCCCCATTGAAATGTCCTCAGTGCCGAGCAGCCCTCCGCAAGACATCCGGTGCGCCGCGTTGTCCTCGCAATCACTGCAAGTCTCCTGGGACTCGCCGCCCGATTCCAGTCTGAACGGTGTCTTGAAAAACTACAAGGTCATATGGGAGAACATGGACGCTCTGACCGAGTCGCCTAAATCGGAAATGAAGACCACCAGTGCCTTGACTGTCGTAATTCACGGCCTCGACAAGTACACCAACTACTCTGTCCAAGTGTTGGCGATGACCAGAGCCGGAGACGGTGTTGCCTCGTCACCTTTGTACTGCGTCACCATGGAAGATCTGCCGGAGGTACCAGCGGGCGTGAAGGCGGTCGTCAGGTCGGCAACGTCAATTATCGTGTCGTGGCACCCGCCGCTCAAGAGCAACGGAAACATCACCTCGTACAACGTTCATATCCGCTGGGTCGGCCCCGAGGGAAAATGGTACACGCGAGCGTTGCCGCCTTATCAGACCAGCTATCAGGCGGAGAGCTTGCACAAGAAAAATCAGTACGAGTTTAGTATCGCGGCGGTCACCTCGGTTGGCGAGGGTCCACAGACTCAGCCTATCACTGTCTCACCTTCTAGCGAGGGTAAGTGAGGGGATTTGTTTGAATTTTTGGAAGGGCACAGAGGATCGAGCGCGTGAATCGTCGATTTAGTTGCGAATTTACACGCCGCGTTTCCTCCGCTGACGTAGGAGCTGTGTGCTTTAACCCTTTCATTGATGTTGGGCGCTTTGAAAATCTACCGACACTGTACAGTTCGCGCCTTTTAAATTTGATCCTTAATTTCATCTTATGCTTCTATCTTAACTTAACAAAACAAATGTTTAAACGATACAGAAAGATTTTGCAGCCACGGTTGGACATCTACTGCACGTCACACGTATTACGTACTAAAATCTGCCGCAGCGAAAGATCAGCGCTCTTCGTATTCATATTACTTATTTTGCAAATTTAAAACAATTTGACTAACGAAATATGTACTATGACTATTAACGCCATACCTCAATCGTACACAGCCAGAGCTTTACTTTCGAGTTGCCAGCAGTCGAAGGGTTAAAGACCGCGGAAACCGCCGCGTCGTAGCGCGAGAATCTTCTTCGGAAAGCTTAGGCTACCTAGCTTTGGGTCAATTTTTAGTTTCGAGCGAGCGATCGATGAAGGCGAAAATGAAAGATCTGCGTGGGCAACAAACTTTACGTTACACTTCGTGCGAATTTTAGAATAATTTTCTCGTTAGAAAGAATCAACGATTTGATCATTTTCATGTGTTCCAACGTACAGTTCGAGCAGCGATATACTCGTTCGGCGCGGTACTAGTCGTCCCATGGAAACAGAACGTGACATTACCATGTCAGAGCGTTGGCAACCCCGAAGCGTCAGTCACATGGAAACAATGGGGCCAGGTGGTGAAAGCATCCAGTAGGGTGTCTCTGCTACCGGAAGGCTCGCTGCAGATCACGGATCTTCACCGAGAGGACAGCGGAAATTACACGTGCTACGTGAAGAATCGCCATGGATCCGATCAGATCACGCATCGTTTAACCGTGCAAGGTGGTAGACAGTTCAATTTAAAACTATTCTCCTTGGAAAAACGGAACGACCGTGGTAGCGTTTTAAATGATTCTTCTACAATCTTCTGGTGAATGAAAATTGCCCTAGTTTTAGAACACCCACGGCGTGAATTTACAGGAAAATTGCGGGGGAACACGTGTGATAATTTGATTTTACCATGCTTTTCGCAGTTCCACCGGCGGCACCGTTGCTTCACGCAACAAGCGCGACCAGTAATTCGATCAACGTCCAATGGAAGAACGGGGACGACGGTGGTGCACCGATCAGAGGTTACATCCTTCATTATAAACGCGAATCGGGCGAATGGGAGGAGGTGAAAGTCTCCCATAAGATCAACAGTTTCGTGTTGTCGCGGCTGTGGTGTGGGAACGACTATCAGATGTATCTGACGGCGTACAATCGGATCGGTATGGGTTCACCCAGCGAGATCGTGAAAGCGACGACGAAAGGATCGAAGCCGGACGACACTCCTAGCAACGGTGATAAATTCGTAACGGTGAACGTTTCCTGGATCACTCTTCATCTGAGCATGTGGAACGACGGTGGTTGTCCTATCACGTACTTCGAGCTCGAGTACAGGAAGAACGGTGAAGACATTTGGACGTTGGTATCGAATAACATCGAGGTATTGAAAAAAACGAAACAAAAAAATGATTAACGCAAGTCTTTATGTTCCTCTTATTTTTTCTCCCCCGATTGCACGTTCGATACGCGATAACAGTTCTAAACGATCCTCCTCGCGATGTAAATTCGTTGCCCGCTGGTTAGGTCTACCGATAATTGCTCGAGGAACGACCGTCGATTTCCCTCGATATTACAGTAATAGCCGGAGCATTCGTTGTTCAGGTACAAAAGACGTACACGCTCAGCGAGTTGCAATCTGGAACGACCTACGACATCCGAATAAGGGCGCACAATAACGCCGGTTTCTCGGTCGCTGAGTATAGGATAACGACTCAGCAACCTCACACCAGCAGCACAGTGCCAGCTGTCGAGATCGATCACTACATTCCTCAGCACACGTCCGTTTACTCGGATTTAAAGCTGATTATCCCGCTGATACTAAGCTCGATGGCGATTATCGCCGCCGCCGGTGCTGTGTTCTATTGTTTCCGGAAACGTTAGTAGAGTGTGCCTGATCCGCGTCTATGGTTCACGTGAATAACCATCGGGTGCATGTAACGATTGATGACGATGACCGTAGGTCCATTTATAGGGGAGATCGCGAGTTTGCACGACGCCCAGACTGCCGCCGCCTTAGACAATAAGCAGAACATGGAGCAACGTGAACAGTATTACGCGACCGTGAGGAAACCGCTACGATCGCCTATACACGAGATGGCTACCTTGGAAAAAATTCCAGGTACTTGGAGAAGGGAGAACCGTGAGATCTGGCTACTTTGTTTAATCGGCTGATTAACTCTTTCGTTGTTGGGAGCAAACGAACCTTGTCGACTTTCGTTGATTCTTTTTATACTACGCACTGTCGTGTAACCTTCTTGGCTAATTTTAAATTGTTTTGGAGGTGAAAGAAGCGAGGAGTGCAAATTCTGTCTAATTTCGTTTTTGAGAAGAAGTACACCTTGTCGATACGTTCATTTTTAATTATTTCTAAGGCAAAAGAAGTGAAGAGTGCAAATTCTGTCTAATTTCGTTTTTGAGAAGAAGTACACCTTGTCGATACGTTCATTTTTAATTATTTCTAAGGCAAAAGAAGTGAAGAGTGCAAATTCTGTCTAATTTCGTTTTCAAGAAGAAATAAACCTTGTCGACATGTCAATTTTTCATTATTTCTAAGGCAAAAGAAGTGAAGAGTGCAAATTCGGTCTAATTTCGTTTTCAAGAAGAAATAAACCTTGTCGACATGTCAATTTTTCATTATTTCTAAGGCAAAAGAAGTGAAGAGTGCAAATTCGGTCTAATTTCGTTTTCAAGAAGAAATAAACCTTGTCAATACGTTCATTTTTAATTATTTCTAAGGCAAAAGAAGTGAAGAGTGCAAATTCTGTCTAATTTCGTTTTTAAGAAGAAATAAACCTTGTCGACATGTCAATTTTTAATTGTTTCCAAGGCAAAAGAAGCGAAGACTGCAAATTCTACCTAATTTCGTTTTTGAGAAAAAATAAACCTTGTCAATACGTTCATTTTTAATTATTTCTAAGGCAAAAGAAGTGAAGACTGCAAATTCTACCTAATTTCGTTTTTCAGAAGAAGTACACCTTGTCGATACGTTCATTTTTAATTATTTCTAGTGCAAAATAAGCGAAGAGTGCAAATTCTGCCTGTGCTCGCAGCTAATTTCGTTTTTGAGAAGAAATAAACCGTGTCAATACGTTAATTTTTAATTATTTCTAAGGCAAAAGAAGTGAAAAGTACAAATTCGGTCTAATTTCGTTTTTGAGAAGAAGTACACCTTGTCGATACGTTCATTTTTAATTATTTCTAAGACAAAAGAAGCGAAGAGTGCAAATTCGTTTTTGAGAAGAAGTACACCTTGTCGATACGTTCATTTTTAATTATTTCTAAGACAAAAGAAGCGAAGAGTGCAAATTCGTTTTTGAGAAGAAATAAACCGTGTCAATACGTTCATTTTTAATTATTTCTAAGGCAAAAGAAGTGAAAAGTACAAATTCTGTCTAATTTCGTTTTCGAGAAGAAGTAAACCTTGTCAATACGTTCATTTTTAATTATTTCTAAGGCAAAAGAAGTGAAGAGTGCAAATTCGTTTTTGAGAAGAAATAAACCTTGTCGATACGTCGATTTCAAGTTGTTCCTAAAACAAAGCAAACGAATAACCTACGCTCTATCCGCGCCCGTATCCGTAGTTCTAACGACGAAAGAGTTAAAACGGCTTCACCTAAATAAACAAGAATTCCAGTGTAAAGTGTACGACGAAACGGATTGAAAAATGGTTGCAGAATACTCGGAGGACATCTATCCGTACGCGACCTTCCAGCTGGAGGAGAGCGTGCCACCGGGAGGTGATAGCCGATGTAATTCCGCAGCGCCACTTCAGACCTTCGTCTATCACGATCCTCGTCTGTCCACCGCCGACACTCTTCAATTACGAGAGGTATCGTCCGACGTTCAGTTTGCTTTTGTCATTCACCATCGCTTTCCACCATTCGCCTATCGTGTCTGTTTCACCGAGCCAATGGGAGAACACACTTGCGCACACCGCATGCCTCCTCCACACTCCATTACCTCCGGATCACTATGTGCAATTGTTTCAGATAAAAGTTTCTACGTAACCCGTGTCTGTCTCTGTGCGTGTGTCCCATCTGAATTTAATAACATCGAACTGTAACAAAGCGTGATAAGCAATTGCTCGCGGTTGGAAAATCGACGACAATTCTGCTCGCTTACGTTCGAGCGCGCTTGCAATTTTCGTTAACAGGTGTAAAATTGTAGAGAATCGGTGGAAACAATTTTGTCGATTGGACGAAAATTAGAACGTACAAACTTTTATCTCTTATCAATTAAAATGAGCCCCGATACAGAGCTTCGCTGTCCCAGCCGCCCATCGTCACTGTATATCTTCCCGAAAACAATCGAGACAGAGCGTCAGAAAAAAAAAAGAGAAAGATATATCCATAGCAATCAGCAGAAAAGGGAAACTGTACAAATCCTGCTTCAGCATGTTGCATCGAGTTTTTCAAAGCGCGTTACGCACAGTCTCCCCCAGTCGCATTTGCGCGCGTGCACATCCGGCTTGGCTAGAACCGGGAACGTTTTAGAGATTGTCTCTGGCACGAAAGAATTGTTTGTACAATTTTGTTTGTCTGTCTTGTTTTTTTTTTTTTTTTTTTTTTTTTTCAACCCGCCGCGAGAACCGATCGCGAAATTCGAGAAACGAACAGCTACCGTGCGCTTAACGCGGAGAAAAATGGGCGGGAAAACGACCGATGACGGAAAAAAAAAAAAATGTATGATTTAACGAGAGAAACGTGCCCTGTAGAGAATCGCGGCGCGGAATCGAGTAGAACAGATGTGCATCATAGAGAATCGATCATTGTGACTGCTGGTCCCACCTTGCTTCGTTTCGCATCTGTCCTGATCAAGTCCATCGAGGAAACCGCAACACCGATGCAAACGATACATCTCTTACATGTACTATATTCGCCATTCTACACATCTCTCGCCAAAAGTATTGTCATAATAGCTCGTCTAGCTGTAGAATAAGAAAGCATACACTTTTTGTCGAAACGTTTGATTATCGTACGGCAGTCGGTACGTAGAGGAAAAGACAGTAGTATTAGGTTGGTGCAAGTGAAACGTCGTTTTTTCGAGAATTGAAAGTTGCCGGGTTGATAGTGTGTGTTAAAATTTTTGGAAGAATTTGCTGCAGAACGCTTAACTCATAATACATTGACGCGATGAATAACTGGGATATTCGCGGAATTTCTTCTATATAAGTTTGAATTTGGAAAAACTGCGGTGAAAATTAGCGAAAATATAAATTTAGTATTTAAAGAAGATTATGTAAATGTTGAGACGTTTCAACGTTGGGGTGCAAAATTTGAAGATTGGTGACTTATTGGAAAATGAATTTTTATGGAAATTACAACGTTTTAAAAATTATTGCAAACAATCCACGGTAAAAGATATGAAATTTTTCCACGTCCTTTCTTACTCCGAAATGAGGGCACCGTGAAAGTAGCATTGAAAGAATTTCTTAATTCAAAGACGAACAATTTTAATCGCCGAGGAAAGTGTATAGAATCGCGTAGAAATAATTTTTCTAAATTTGTATCTAAAGTTTCGTTTGAAAAAAAAACGACGTTTCACATGCACCAACCTAATATAAATCGTGACCGTTCAAGATCAGTGCCATTCGATCTCGTCTAACCCGACTAATCAGACAATTCCGAAAGCGTACACTGTATATACATACATAGAACATGATAAAAAAATATCATAAATCATAGATCAATATCAATCTACTATCAATTGAACGATTCACCTTTGTGATCGATAACAATCGTATTCAGGGCACAACGCCTTGTATAGGTATAGTCGGTGGAAGCGATATAGCGAAGTCGTAAAATCAGTCAGGCGTCAAAATCACGTAATCTGAATGCTAAAACAGCAATTCGAGGGAAATAAGGAGCACGAGCCTCGCTCAGAGCCGTTCGATACCAACTCGGAATTGGTTCCTCCATTGCAGTATTAGAAAATTTGTCTGCACCTTAATTAGTCACAGCTACAGGTTAATTTTTGCCAATATGGAAATTACTATTACCAAGGAGAAGGCAATAAAGGGTTAAAAAATTATATATAGAAAGTTTAAATATCAATTCACAATTGACGAACGGTCCTGGATGCGGCTGCATCAATACTTTAACACGTTGACTGCCACGTTGCTCACCTGTGACCAGAGATTGTTTCTTCGGTGAAAAAGTAAAAATTAAAAATTTCGCACGTCGTAGCTAACTGCACATTATTTTGAATTAAAAAAATAATAATAAAGCATAATATAATACTATGCTTAGAATAATGAAAATTTTCTTCTGGCCCCCTGAGCGAAACATGTAAATCTAGCGTGGCAGTCAACGTGTTAACCTTCGGACGACGGATGCTGGGTCATCGCTGACCCGGCCTCTAAATGTCCCTTGTTTCAACCAACTTTCGAAACAGAGTCACGACTCTCCTCTCCTCGAATCATATCATGATTAAAATGATGAACATTTTTATATTTGTACAATTTAGTAAAATGAAGAAACGTGGTTTCTTCTGCATACGAAAAAGATTCCAGGTAGTATTGTGTCACATTTGACCGAAAAACGCGATCCACTCTCCAAAACTTAATTTATGACCTCGCTGTATCGCTTCCACCAACTATACGCGCACATTCGTCGGAATCGATGGCTCTGATCTACGCAGAGTCTCTAGATCTACGAAAGCACGAACGCCGTTGAACAGCGACCCGTTTCACGAAGGGCTGTGATGGGCGAGGAATTTCGTTTTCGACGCGTGTAGTAAAGAAAAGAAAAAGAAAAAGATCGGTGTAGCGCGTGTCCTCGTTTCCTCGTGCGATGTGCCAATTCATCGAACCAATTCCGTCTGATTGCAGTCGGATTGCAACCGGTACACTAAGGTGCGCGGAGGCCGTTCGTCCTCTGCGCCGTTGCACAAAACGCACAAGGTCAGTCAGGGCAAGTCCGAGTCGGAGGAATACGACACCCTGGGCTCGGATAGCGACACGGAAGTCGGGACCAGCAGCCGAACCGAGTCTTCCAATCACCTCGTCGATTCGCACCACTCGGTGTCTGCGGCCGACTCGCGTGTCCACAGTATGCAAACTAAAAAAGAACTCTCTTTCATCCTTTCTATTCGGTTTACGCCTCTTGTTTCGTTCCTCCACTCTCTCGTTCGTTTGATCCTTCCAAACCAGCCGTGTACCACGCTACTCGACGTTGAATCAAAAAGCTCACCTTCAACCCCGAAATGAACATTTTTCGGGGGTGAAGAACGAAACGAGAGAGAGAGAGAGAGGGGGTCGAGAAGCGTCCGACTGGTATTTTCTATTATCCATGCACCATGCGATACCACAGAACCTCCGTTCCCCGTTGCCTGTCTATTATACGTTCGTTTTAGTATGCACCGAAACATGTGATCGAGTATTTCACGCTTGTTTGTTGTCGTCATGAAACGTCGGAACGGAATCACGGAGGTTTTTTCTACCGTTAAAAAATCGAAGAAACCTGGCAAAAATCGTGGAGAAAAAAAAAAAGATTCTATTCTGTGATTACAGACTTCCTGTACCATGGACCAGAATCTAGCACGTCTACAGAACCCTCACCGATTTTTGAGAGAAAATCGTTTCCTGGAAGGGGAAGATCCAAGTAAGATAATTCCCTTCTTCTTCTCTATTCGATCTGTCTGTCAGCGTGAGAGTGGCAGAGTTTCGTAGTAGAATAAAAGATGATTAATGGTTCTCGTTGTTCTAAAAGGATGTTACAGCTGGCGCGTCATACCAGCGAGGAGACCCGTTCCAACTTCGGCCCAATCTCCGGGCTTGGCAATTCCAAGCACCAGTCGAGCAATTCCTGTTCCAATCGGGACCAGGAGCGTGACGGATCAGGGAACCTGTTCGTCCCCAAGCTGGACCCACCCACGGGCTTCTCCGACGCGTTTGAGCTAAGCGAGGCGGAATGCGACCTCGATCGCGGCCACAGTAGCCAACGAAACGTCCGTGACTTCGTAATCGCGGTGTAAATAAATTTGAGAAAATGCTGGAAAATTATGTAGAACCTTTACGGTGAACTTCCACGATGCTGTGCGAAAACTGCGGAACGAACGAATACAAAACCCCAATTTCAATCCTAATCTCGATGTAAAGAAGAAGAAGGAGAAGAAGAAAAAGAGAATAACACACCACCGTGGTCCGTCTTTCGTTAATTATCCAAATTGGCCCGATTCATCGGCGGGCCAATCAACGAGATACGTGAAGCCCCTGTTCGTGTTCCTTGGCCTACGTCGATAGGAAAACGAGGAAGAAGAGAAGTTGCGATAAATCGTTGTCTCTCCTATAAAGAGAACGAAAACCTACTGAACTCGACCATGTGTTCTTCAAACTGCCACTTCGTTCGAATTCGCGTGAAAACCCGCGACCACGCGAGAGACCATTTGTTTCGCTTCTGGTAATCTCCACGTTTTTGCGTCCTCGACGAACTTCGATTGTCTCGAACGCGATCGAGGATCCAATTTAACATCCTCCACACGTTCGGACGAATTTTATCGAATTTTTTTCTCTACTGCCGATTTCGTTCTGAAGCAAAACGACTGCTCTACAAGATGGAGAGAGGGAGAGAGAGAGATGTTACCGGTTCTCTACACTTTGTAAATTAGATAAATTCTCGCGAGGTCACGTTTATTATACGCACGATTTGGAACGCGTCCGTTTGGAATCTGTTCTATGCGAAGACTGTTTCACAGAGAAAAACTGTAACTCTTACACTCGACTGTATTCCGCGAGGGAAGATTTTTTTAGCTTCGCCTCGCGAGAAAGATCTCCTATTGTCTTTATTAAACGTAACCGACAACCGCTCGAATCGTAAATTAAGTAATACCGTCGAATCGTCCTAATCGTTAAGACTCTACGTTGCAGCTGAACACACCCACATACACACACGTATATACACGTACGGTTTCATTGGTATCGAGTGCATATCCCAGCGAGCAATACGCGATTTGTTACGAGTTTACTTGGTCTTCCAGTTTCGTAGATCGTTTTTATCTACTGATTTCATCGTCATCCTTTAACGAAAACAGGGAAAAAAAGAAGAAGAGAGAAGAAAGGAGAGCAGACGTGTGAATGAATTATACAGATTCGAGGCGCTCTGTAATACGTGTATAAATAATGAAGGTAGGCCGTGAGGAGAAAAATAAAAAAAAATGATGTTTCGTCGTCGTCGTTGTCATCGGTGTCGTTTCACTTTAACGCGAGACTGAAACTGTTAGTAGCGAAAAAAGTAAATAAATAAATAAATAAGTGACGTGTAGCGTTAATAAACTTTACCGTTTCAAAACATGCAAAAGCGTAAAAAAAATAAACTTATGTCTGTAAGGTGTCTGTACTTACCGTGTTCGCTAACTGTGTACGTATCGTACCTCACCTGAACGCGCGAACCGCGGCTGAATAAAGAATCGACTGTGAACGAAACGACGACGTTTCGTTTGAGAAAAAAAAAAAAGAAAATCGAGATTCGCGCGTCGATTAACGATCGACGGACCGAGTGATAAGAAAAAGAAAAAAAAACGCCAAGGAAAACACTGACAGCAAAACCCCCCCAAAAAAACCAAAAAAAAAGAAAAAAATAAACAAAAATAATGGAAACACAAACACAGAGATAAGATAAAATAAAATGCAGAGTATTAATGAATTTATTCGACTGTCGTTAAGGGATAAATAAGAGAGAGAAAAAAAGAAAAGAACGCACCCACCGAGTCTGTAAAACGCATGTGTTGTCATCGAATCAGTTTAAACCGTAAACAACCGAAATCGATCGTTCACCCGACAACGTGACACGATGATATTTTGAGTCTGAGTGCTCTCTCGTTATATCGAAGCCTCTCCCGATCGAAGAAAACGCGACCATCGGGGGCTTGCGCATGAAGAGATATCGATCTGTTGACAAATCGTATACTTTATAATATATGAAGAAGGAAAAAAAATGATTTACCACGAAATTCGTACTATTGTGTTTTTAGACGACTTTAGATTGTTTATATTCTATTTACTTTGTAAAATATACAACACTAATTCCATAACGGAACAACGTCTCTCAATTACTCACCTACCCTTATCTTTCACCTATCCTTCGAGAAAAAGGAAGCGAAAAATTCTGAAATTTCCAGAGAAGCAATTTCCATTCCAGACAGACAATCGTTCTCGTTACCTGTGACGACAGAAATCGGCGGTGACAAAACGTGCCCCCTGTCTGTCTCGCGAACACTCCGATCGATCGCGCGTTTCGTCCTCCGCCCGATTTCGCGGTGATTCGAATATGCAAAAGGTGGAATGCGGGTGGGTAGCGACGTGGGGGCAAGGAAAATCCTCGAGTTGTGCGAGTTTCGGTGGGAGGGAATGGCAGGGGTGGATGGACCGGTGAGGTCGAACAGGGTTGCTGGGCATGCGCCCGCGTTACCTTCCTCTCCAGATACTATGAGCGGTGGTGTCTACGGCGGAGGTATGTGATACGCGGTCCGTGATATTTCTCGGGAAAAAAGACGACACCGAGAATTCCGTAAAACCTTTGGATTTTTCCCGCAGACGAGGTAGGTGCTATCATTTTCGACGTCGGACACCAGAGCCTTCGGGTTGGTTATGGCGGTGAGGACACGCCGAAAGCTGAAATTCCGACCACCCTCGGTGTATGGGAGGACACCGCCGACACCACCGACACCAACCAGACCGCGAAGAAGCAGTACAACATCGATGTCACGGCCATTCAAGTGCGAAAGAAGGGTAGGATCCTGTCGATGAAAATACGATTACGTTCTTACGCTTCGAGTTCTCTTTCTCGCCGCTTTATTTCTGAATTTAATTAAAATATGCCACGGTATTTAGAGAATCAGTCTGCTTAACGAGATTTAGAGAAACCTTGCGTGGGCTAACAGGCTTAACATCTTTCACGTGGGAAATATCGCGGATGGTTGGAATTTCTGTCGTGGAAGATCAATTGTAGAGATCGAATTTTTCAGAGATTTTTTTCGTGAGATTAAATTTATGTATTGTTTCTATTTCATCTTTCTTTTATTTTCTACCAGATATGGAGATAGTTAGTTTGATGAAGGATGGAATGATCGAAGACTGGGACATGTTCGAGCGTCTAACGGAGTACACCTACAAGCAACGTCTGCACGCGTTCCCCGAACACCATCCTATTTTGATGACCGAGTGTCCGTGGAACACCAGACTGAAACGTGAAAAGTTACTAGAGTTGATGTTCGAGAAATTCAGCGTACCGGCTATGTACATCTGTAAAAACGCGGTTCTGGCGGCTTACGCGAATGGAAGATCGACCGCCATGGTGGTTGACAGCGGAGCGACTCACACGAGCGCGGTTCCGGTGCACGACGGTTATGTCATCACGCAGGGAATCGTGAAAAGTCCGTTGGGCGGTGATTTTATCACGATGCAATGTAGGCAATTTTTCGAAGAGAAGGACGTCGAGCTTTTACCTGCCTGTTTGGTCGCCAGTAAAGGTGAATTTGCAAGATTTTTCTTTTCCAACGATACTTGGTTGACTCGGTTCTTTGAAACGAGTGTAATCGGAGAAGCGAAGAGAGGAAAAGGAACGGTAATGGTATAATTCAATTGATGTGAACGTTATTGATGTACAGATTAAATATTGACTTCAATTGCCGGCGGTCGTGTTTCACGGAATTAACGTGCTATAAAAAGCAACGTTTAGTAGAACGTAAAACGATGGCTATTAGTGGGTCACAAAGGGAGCAGTTAATCCTTTCAACGCGTATTTTGAACGATGAACGCGCGCTGTGTACAGAGCACTTGAGTCGTAATACCTTGATTGAATGCATTCAACGTCCGTACGTCTTCAACCGCACGCGCTGGACAGATTTACCGAACACTCGTCAACCAATGCGCCGTTTTCAAAGGGTTAAGGAGTGTTTAGAATTCGACATTTTTCGACGCTTTGTCGAGAGCGCTATTCTTGTCTAATGTCAGCAACTTCCTCGTGTCGATTGGTACTATTCGACGTTTCGTGTTGTACCACTTGAAACAGTCTTTTCAATATCCTTCGTCTAATTGCTTTTCTCCATACATATTGATCGTATTATATATTGCGTATACCTGTAAGTCAACGAGAGAAGGTTTTCTAAGGTTTTGAAATGTAGATAGTGTGACGAGGGAACATCTCGAAGTGATAATCTCTGATATTGATGAAACTTTGGTGTATGGTAATTTCCAAAAAAATATTCCATACTATCTTTTTGCATTGACAATCTTTCACTGTGAAGGGGGTGAAAATTGCCCTCAAAATTGTGTCAGAAAGTACTCTAATTCTGCGTAGGGTGGGCGTAAAATTCACTAAACGTATCTACGTTCTCCACAACAATATATTTTACTCAGAATCTGTATCAAAAGTGTACATTGAAGGTCTCGGGAAGAGAGGACACGTCGTTCCCTGTCCACCCCTACGCGACCCAAAGGGGCGAGTCGTCCCCACCGAGCGCTCTGGGCCTGGCTTCACCGTCTTCGGGACGGATTTTCTCACAATTGAGAGTAAAAAATTGATGGAGATAGAGAAATAGTGTAAATTGAGGAATTGTGAATTTTTCAATGACAAAATTTGAAAAATTAAAAATAATTTTGTATTCGTCAATTTACACAATTCCTTGATCTGTAATAATTTTCGAGATAGACAAAATACGTTTGTTACTCCTGTCTTTGAGGACAATTGCCGATAAAAAAAAATACGTGTCAAATATTTTTTTGAATATTACCAGATACCAAAGTTTCCTCAATATCAGAGATTATCACTTCGAGATGTTCCCTCGTAAATTCTAAAACTCTCAACGTTAATTCTTTCGTGTCTCACACAACATTGACTGCTTCCTCAACCAGTGTGCCAAACCAGATATAATTTTATCTTTTTCATTATTTCCTAGGCTTATAAAAATCAGTTTCCCATTACTCCTAATACTGCAACATACTTTACCATTATAAAAATCACAACACAATGTGGAATGTGAGAAAAAATTGCACTTATTAGACGATTAGTTGTGAGACACAGACATGAACGTTAAGAGGTTAATACATAAAAATCTCTGTTATAGTACTATGTATAACAGCCTTAAAATTGCAAGAATATAAAAAAAGTAAAATAATAATTAAATCGACAGATGTGGTTCGCGAGAGAGATCCACCACGCTGGATAAGAAGACCAGGTCCCCAGCCAACCTCTTCCTGGTTAAGCTACATGGTCCGAGAATTACTGCAAGACTTCCAAATGAACTGTCTCCAAGTATCAGACAGTCCGTACGACGAAGACATAGCGAATACTCTACCAATGAAACACTACGAGTTTCCAACTGGGTACAACGACGATTATAGTTCGATCAGACTGATGATACCGGAAGCACTGTTCGATCCGAGCAACGTGAAGGGCGTAGGCGCCAGTATCCTCGGTGTTGGACCACTCGTCACGACGAGCGTCGGCATGTGTGACATGGACATCAGACCTGTAAGCGCCATTCTAATTCCGTCCGTTACTTAACGACTCGTGAAAGAGGCTGACGATTGAAAGATTGACAAAATAACACGTTTGTCTGTTTAGAGTTTGTACGGAAGCGTGGTGGTTACCGGTGGTAATTCCTGCCTGCAAGGTTTTAGCGAAAGACTGAACCGTGATTTAGCCAGTAAAACTCCTCCAGTTGGTACCATTTTTTTTTTATTATTTATTACAGTAACCCTTTCGCTACTGTCATCTTGCACGATATTACGGTGGAAAGAAGTTTGCTTGATTGAAATTTGCATTGAATACCTGGTGCTTTGAAATGTGAGCGCTATGTGAGGCACTTTGAAGCCAAAATGATTGACTCCACTGTTTCATATTCTTCCAATTTTAGTATCGAAGTGCTTAATTTTTCGCAAATCAAACAAATTTAGTAAATTTCTTTTTATGGCTTCTGAGTGACTTATATGTCGGGTGACTATAATTGAAGCCTTTGATGGAAAAAGGGCACATACACAAAATTTACACAAAAATTTCCAGAAAAAAGTCAGTGACTTTGAGAATTTTTTATCATTCGAATCAATTGATATGAGATAAATTGATAAAAGTGGAATTGAGATAAACTTCAAATCTATCAAAAATTAGCAGCAGATTTAATATTGATGAAAAGTGATTCCAAACTTTTGGCCGGTAGTGTAAGTATAGTTGGGGCCACGATATAGCGAGGTCGTAAATTAAACTCTCAAGAATCGGCATCGATTGATGTTGCGGCACTCAAGGCCGTGTGTTGCAGTCTGTTTGAGGGTTCCAACAATAAACGAATGGTAGCATATGATTTGGTACTTCAAGTAGAAAATGATATTTCATTTACAAATGGAAAATATGTTAATATTAAAGCTACACAATCCTTTTGCATTTTCTATCTGTATATAACACGAGCAGGTAAATGAAGATGTTAAAGACCTCAATAAGACCTTTACTTGTAACCGTACTTCCAAAAGCGGCTTCCCCCAGAGGGAGAAACCCTAATTTGTCCTAGCTGCATGCATATTAGAATCAGTTGACTTTCGCTGGATACAAGAATTCTTCGTACGGTCCTGACAATGGTTTCAAGTACTTATCTGCTCGAATCTCTGTCAATTTTCGGGTCCCGGCAGCTAAAACATGTTTACTTTGACGTCTGACCGATTTTACGACCTCGCTATATCGTGGCCCCGACTATACTAAAAATGCCATTTCAAGAAAATCGACATCAAAGTTTTCATCATCGTATTACTTAATAAAAAGTCCAGAAATCTTAATAAAAATCCAAAAGAGAAGTAACATGTCCTTGATATATTATATACATACATATGTAACACATACCTGAGTCGACTTGTGAGAAATTAGCACCCTTCCTCAAGAGGTACTTGAAAGGAGCCGTTACGTCTGGCGCTGTTGTACAGACGAGAGGCAAAGGTGCCTCTGGTTCGTTCAAGCTGTCAATAATAAAGAACTCAGAGTCGAAGAAGACCCCGGCTGTGAAAGTATCAAACCCTAAGAAAGTCAAGAAATCTGTAGAGAAGAAAACGTCGCCGACACGAAAAGCTGCATCGCCGAAGAAACCAATTCCGGCAAAAAAGGCAGAGGTTACTGTGAAGAAGTCTCCCGCCAAAACCGCCGAGAAGCCCAAGAAGGCGGAGAAAGCTAAACTTGCAGCTGAGACAAAGGTCATGTCAAAAAGCAAGAAAACAGCAAAAGCACCTGCAGCCAAAACTAAAACTCCAAAACCCAAAAAGGCTGCGGCAGCAAAGACAGCTAAGCCAGAGTCAAAGAAATAATTCTGAAGCACAAATTTTAGAATTCCAACCCTAAACAACATTATTATCTAAAGGCTATTTTCTGCGTCCTTTCTTACACTAAATTGACAATCACCTCTATTCCTTTCGGGAAAATATCATCTTTATTTCATAACCGGTCGTTTAACGTTTCATAACCGGTCGTTTCCATCAATGACCTCAATTGCTCACAGTATTCAGTGTCTGTTTTCTCGTAAACGACCATAGTCGCCGATAATGACACAAAAATCAAGAGTTCTATATCAATTAAAAGATATTTAATTAACATTCATAAAATGAATATTTATAAATCAAGTTATTTTATTTAATTTTCTAGTCCGCCTATAGTAGCGAAAGGGTTGCAAATATTCTCTTCACGAGAACCCGACCTAACCATGCACCGTTTAATTTTCCAGAGCATGAGACTAAAAATAATTAGCGCGAACAGCTCAAGTGAGCGTCGCTACGGTGCCTGGATCGGAGGATCGATCCTTAGCTCCCTCGGATCCTTCCAGCAGATGTGGTTGTCGCGGCAAGAGTACGAGGAATCGGGTAAACTGATTCTGGAGCGATGCGCGTGATCATATGCTCAAGACACACAATCAAAATTATTCTTTGTAATTATTTTTACAATGCGTCCAACTGTTCGTACAACTACGTACCTATTTCTATTTCCTCGAAGGAGGCTGTCAATTTCTAACGTTAAGTTCGGAGTGTAAGGGCCAACATGAGACAATACGAGCGGATAATATCAAAGATGCGTAGAACTTTAGGAAAAATTCAAATGGTAGGGGGAGAGAAATGTTAATTCAATTGTTCAGCCTGTTATTCCAAGTCCGAACGAAGGATTCGCGGATGGAATCGCAATCGAAATTCTTCCCTTCGATTGCAAAAGAATTGCAACAACCGACATAAAATGTCGGTGAAACGTTTTTGTTTCTAGAAAAAAAAACAAAGAGAAAGAGAAGCACAGTTCCTAACTGCCCGAAGAAAATATTTCTCGTTCGCAAATTCACGTGTACGTTGACCTTTGATATATCGAAAGTTAACCCTTTCGCGACCGATCTATTTTTTTAAGACTGTTTTACCTACGTTACCGACCGTCGCGTCTGCGATGAGCCACTAAATTGAGATGAATTTTTTGTTAGAGTATGAAAGTGAGACGAACGCGTCTCGCTGGTAGCGAAAGGGTTAATTCGAGCGACTTGTTAATCGACGATGGAGATGAAAATAGAGAAAAAGGTGAGTCTTTCCCGAAGAAAGGATTTTCATTGTTTATTTCGAACGTAGTCACAAGTGTTACAACATTTCCACGATACTTTTCAATTCAACTTTCGTATTCCACGCTTCTCTGCTGTTCGTTGTTTCGATTGTCTCTCCTGGTTTTTCCAAAAAGTAAACGAACCGAGAGGAACGAAAAATAAAATAATAATAAAATTGGTAGAATCGCGAACCGCAAACACTCGTTCCTACAACACGTCACGACGAGCAGTTCCAATTCCACAACGACAAATATACATTATATATATATATATTATTATGGTGTAGTAAACGATATAATATCTCGCATTTCAATAAATGTAGGAAACAGTATTATCGGTATATCACATATACAATATGTACTTAGGAAGAGGCGAATTATTTTGTTAGAAGAAAGAAAAAAAGAAAGAACAGAAATACCGAAAGGACCTTTTCTCGTAAGAGCGACGAGATCACCCATTTCGAAATAATGCACGATCGTCGGCTAATTTCAACAGTCCCCTCTGTCACTCGATTATATTAATTCTAATTAATACTTTCGCGCGGTCGAACGTTTAGATTTTCATCTCGGCGAGGAATGTTTCTTCGCATTTCGCTTTTTAATCGGACAAATCTTGTCGACGTTTCTCTTCTTTTTACAAAAGAGAAAGAAAAACCAATAAGAAAGCACCATCGATGTGTGAGAAATTTCTAAGAAATATTCAATGTGACACTCGACTCGTGCTCGCGAAAATTCTATCGAGTCAAGCCAAATGCGAAATTCGTATGAATTATACTATATAAAAAAAAGAAAAAGAGAGAAGACAAGTGAATCTTGTCACCGGTTATTTTGAAACGGTACTGACAAAGATACGTATAACGTGCACGTACAACGTGAGACATGTAAAACGAACTCGCTGTAATCGTTTCTAGAAACGTGTCGAAAATGAACGTGTTACGCTAACTATAAATACTGGTGTCGTTCTCATCGTCGAACGATCAACACGTTATCAAACACGACGGAGAAAAATATCTAACAGCTAAAAAAGAAAGAAGACGTATTACAAAAAGAAAGAAACGCGTGTACGTACATTAGCCAGAGAAATTGGCGTTGACAAGTGTATCGCTGCGATAACTCGACTAAAAAGAATCCTGGTACAAAAAGCGCACGCAATTTGAGATATCGAGACGACGAAGTACGTTTCTATCCAATCTTCCATTTGGACGCTGTCTGTCGCGTACGTCGAGTTCTCGCTTATTGTTCCGTCTCGTTCGAAAGGAAAACGAGAGAACGCGCAGCGAAACTAAACGGCAAACCAGTTTGTAAGATAATCCTGTTCCTAGTCTTTTAAATATTTGTACCAAATAAATCTCAGAACGATCGAACTTACAACTAATATTTCTTCTCATTCAGGAACATTTGGTTTAATGTATATCGATATTCTCACTTTCTCCATCGATCGTTGGTTTCCAAACGGATTATTGTAAGACGAGATCTTCACGATCTTTTCTCAACGTCCATCAATTTCCTATTCTGCTTCGTTCCCATTTTTTCTCCGTTGATCCAGTTTACTCTCCAGCGTCGAGGTTGATACGAACGAAGTATCAAGCTTGGCGTTGCATCGATCGCGGTGTATAGATCGTGCAACGGCTGGAAATACTGCGATCGATTTGCACACGGTGTTGAAGTTTTCTTGCTCGGTTATCAGCGCAATGGAATCGCAAAGGGACGTATCATCGAAGAAGACTCGGTAATAAATAACGCATGTATCACGGCACGATGGATACGGTCGCATGATCGTCGTTTAAAATACTATCGACTATAGTCGTCTCTCCTAGCTACCGACTCGAGACGGTTGTGGTAGTCTGCATATGGTATTGTGAACCGGCATGGACAACCATCCTGCCATCGCTATTCCAATGGAATCGGCCATCGTCGCGATTCCCAAGGAAATTTTACGATCCGCCCTTGGAATCTAGGAGAGAAAGACAGAAAGATAAACGACATTCCTCGTTTGTGAATCGAAAAAAAGGTAAATTCTGTTGGACAGAGGTTGTTATTTCTAGGTTGCACGAACAGAGACGTGAATAAATTGGCAGTAATTTGTCGATGTAAGGCTACGTTACCTCGGTGGACATCCGATAGAACGTGTTCACGTATGCGCCGCCACCGAGAAGTCCTTCCCATAGAACGAACACGAATACGACCCAAATGTTGGGTAAGTAATAGAACAACGTCTCGAACAGTAGGATAATGACGTTGATGAACTGAAAGAGAAAAAGTAATGAGAACGTGGAGAATTGTATAGTTGGTGGAAGAGATATGGCGAGGTTGTAGAATCAGGTAGGCGTGAAAGGACGGAAAATTTGGTCGCTGAAAGGTTAGTTGGGTGAGATAAGGAGATCTAGCTATATTCGGGGCTGGTTTTTCCGTTACAGTACTGCGGTGAACTGGAAAGAAGTGTATGGAAGGAATGCGGGTCTAATTAGACCCGCCATATTCTCATAAACCCACTTTCTTTAGTACAGAAGTAGGACGTATGTATTGTCATTGTTGGTTGACGCGACAACATGGAGGAATTGGATCGTACGAAATTATGCGAGGGGAGAGTGGTGTGAACGAAACACCTCTTTTCCTCTGTGTCAATCCACTGAAATTCGTTCCAGCTCTGCACAGTACCTTTGAACAAATAATAGAAAGAAAAGAAGAGGTACGTAGACGCGGATCTATAGTGATTCAATCACGGTCGCCGCTTGGACTCTGTTTAGAAGCATCAGCTGATCGAGGGTTCACATCTTTCACTCGGCGCTTGTGACTTGAGATTTCGGAGATTTCTATAGCCCAGTATCCAATTGTTGCAAGTATCCAGTGATACGGAATTCGGTATGGAGATTCGACATTCTTCCCTGACTTGGCAATTCTCCTTTGATGTGATACCGAAAAACCGACAAATTCCCAAATTCTTATAGCGGGATAAAGAGGTCAAAAGTGCCCTTAAGTCAAATTTATCTTACGATTCGATAACTTACTAAAAGAAAAAATTTCACACCACGTTTCAGCCCTCTATCTCGAGCAGTAGGGTAGTTGCAGGAAAGATTCAGTTTATCAGTGTTTGCTCCATTCTCTTTACTCAGTGATACGCAATAATTTTGAAAAAAATCTGACACATTACGCATATGGACACATATGTTGCAGAATTTTTTCCGTTTCTTTCCTTGCAAATTCTAGTAGTTCAAAATGAAAAACGCAAAGAAATGTGGATTTCATTGATACCAAACGAAGCAGTGCTTATCTGTTCCCACTGATATGCAATAGCTATTTTTACAACAAATGGATATCGAGTTTAAGATGCGTACGGACCTGCGTACAGCTAGATCAATCGATGTATTCACTTAACATCGTGATTTACAAGCTCGCTATATCTCTTCCATCAACTACACATGCTCGATTACGGTCACAAGGTAGAAAGAGGTTGGTAGTAATGTATGTTTTCCGTTGAATCGCGAGCAGCATGAGTAAACACGTTTAATAAGATACGTCCTGTTACCTGTAAAACAGCCATGATCCAGATTTTGTTAATCGTAACAAGATTAACCGACGATCTTGAAATAAACACTCCTATCTGATAATCCACCTGTAGCCAACGATATTGTTCGGCGTGGGACAACCAAATCCCGTCGAATTCGATCAGCTCGTACTGAAAAAATTAACGTAACACGTGTCGATGAGAACACCTGACCACAGCTATTCTATTATTCTGTACGTCCGGTAGTAACTGTACTGCTACATGGTATCTATAAGGTCGAAGCTAGCAACAGGACACTGTAAACTTACAGCGCGGTGTGGCGAAACGTTAGGCATAACAGGTGGATCGAAATTAAAGTTCGTATAAACGGAACGTGTATAAAGAGAGAGAGAGGGAGAGAGAGGGGGGAAATAATAAAACAGAGCAAATATTGTAAATTGGGGAGAGAGAGAAAGAAGAATAATAAAGCGGAGCAAATATTGTAAATTGGGGAAAGAGAGAGAGAAAGAACAGTGAAGTGAAGCAAAGCAAATACTGTAAATTGAGGAGAGAGAGTAAAATAAATAATAAAAGAGAGCAAAGATTGTAGATTAGGAAGAGAGAAGGAAAAAAAATGAAGCAGAGCAAAAATTCTAAATCAGGAAGAAGGGGAGAAAAGAATAATAAAGCAGAGCAAATATTGTAAATTGAGGAGAGAGAGTAAAAAATGATAATAAAACAGAGAAAAGATTGTAGATTGGGAAGAGAGAGAGAGAGAGAGAGAGAGAAATAAAACAGAGCAAAAATTCTAAAATCAGGAAGAGGGGGAAAAAAGAATAATAAAGCAGAGCAAATATTGCAAATTGAGGAGAGAAGGTAAAAAATAATAATAAAACAGCGAAAAGATTTCAGATTGAAAAGAGAGAAAGAGGAAAAAAATAAAGTAGAGCAAAGGATCTAAATCAGGAAGAAAGGGAAAAGAAATAAAATAGAGCAACGGTTGTAGATTGAGGAAGAGTAAGAAAAAAAGAAATAGAACAGGGCAAAGAAGCATAAGGTAAGGGCAATGCGAAAGAAAAAAGAAAAGAGGAAACACACTATACTACAAAAGCGCATGAAACAAAAAGGCATTACCAATCCTTGGTTAATGAAATATTCGAAGAGGTACACGAGCCCGAGCGGAATCATATACTTCATCAACCCCGGTACCAGATTGATCTTTTCTTTAAAGCTCTTCCTATGGACCTCAATGATGTGCTCTTGGCTGTCGATACCGTTCTTAGTGATCGGGATACTGGACTGCGGTGGATGAACCAGAACCAACCAGAAAGTGATTCCATGTATGATCGGTACGATTAACATAAGTAACAATGTATCTTCGTTGCTCAACCACGTGGTGAGGGAGGCATAAGATAGCGCGCCAATTATTCCGGCGCCTCCAGTACCGGACGACCATGTCGCTATTACTTGTCTGCGAAACAATGAATCGGGCTCAGTTATCGGGCAATGACTAGGGGTCAAACTACAAAGGGGGGGGAGGAGGAGAAAATTTCACATACAAACTGCTGTGATATTAAAATGTCTAACGACGATGATGTTTTTATGAGAGAGAAAAATATATGCATGTACGATAAAGTAACGCTAAAAAAAAAAAAAAAATCGACGCAAAATCGTAGACATTCTCGCGAACAAATCGCGTTAAGGGAGACGCTCGCAACGCGCGTTCTCTTTTTTTCAGAACTTTTGCGAACGGCAACGTTAGTTGTTAGTAAAAAGAAAGAATGACAAAAAGGGGACAGAGAGGTGACAGAGAGAGAAAGAGAGAAAGACAGAAAGAGATACATAGATCGTGATTAACAGTTATTACACATAAGTACAGACGTACCTCGTGCTTGCAACGAGTTTTTTTCTGAATCCCGTACTGTACTTTTTACATATGTATGTATTTTACATGAGTTTTACTTTTTTTTTATCTTATTTTTCTACCATTTCTAGAACGGTTTATTGTGTGTCTGTTTTTTTTTTTTTTTTTTTTATATGCTCTTAAATATGGAAGGCCAATCTGCCAACGGCCATTATCTTATCGCTACTCTTTCTGGAACAACTGTCTAAATGTCAATACTGCGACTTTATGCGCCGCCGCTTCTATATAACCTGCATTCAACAGATTTCACGTTCGCACTTCTTCTACTGTTTTCTGTATTATTAGTTTTTACTTTTTTTTTTTTCTCGTTACATTGTCTCTACCTTCGTTCGTGCGTACACTTTTACTTCTTTTTTTTTTCTACTGGTCACCTTCTATTTTATCTCTTTACAGATTCTCTACACTGTGTGTCTTTTAGTTTCGCTCTCTCACGCGCACGCTGCGATCCTCGAGCATCGCTAAGATCAGAGTGACACATGTGACAAATTATCATCGTGTCTTTTTTTTTTCGCTTTTTTTCTCGCTGGATGAAGAAAAGAATGCTGTGTGAGTGGGATGAACGAGCAAAAACAAAAAAAAAAACGGAAAAGGTATACGATGCGTTCACCGGGTGCATCTCTAATAACGCGAGATTACTCTCTGAATGAAACGCTACGAAGAGAATTAAAAATAAAAGAAAACAAACGAGAGAAAGATTACGTAAATCGAAACAAGATGCGTCTACATGAAACTCGTCTGCGTACGTTGATATATATGATCGTCGAGAGAAAGACAGATGGAGACTTAGAATAACGCTCGCGAACAATATCAAAAAAAAAAAAGAACCAAATTAGAAGGGTAAGAGAAAAAGGTAATGGTTACTTACTTCGGATACTGATGACTGTAACTCAGCAGTGTAACTTCTCCCAAACCGGAAGAGAGTGACGTTACAACGACACCCAGAATGGCGAGCCATTCAGTAGTGCTCAACGACACCACAAGGAATCCTGCAGCGGAAAATAACACACAGGTAGCCAGTCGAGCACTGTAATTAACGATTCGATTAATCGATTAGCGTTTTCATTCACGAGAAAATAGCGGCGTGTCCACGGAGGAACACTAATTCTCCGGAGATGATCCGAGTTCCCCCGAACAAAACCGTGTGTCTGTGAGTGTGTGAGTGTGTGTGTGCGTGTAATCGCACGGTTTTCTTGCTCAGAGAAAAGCAACGTTCTTTGTTTATTCTTAGCACATCTAACAAAATGCGTATGACCACGAAACTAGAATGAACGCCGATCAACCTCCCGCACACGCTCTCCCCTGATCGAGAAAGGAAAGAAATTATTGCCTTGGCTCGGTAACAAGACTGCGTGCATAATCGTCTTCGCTTTCGCACAGACCACCGTCGATCTATGGCACCCGTTCAATCCGTTTGATCTGTTCAATCGAGACGTTCAACACGCGCTTGCCCTATTTCTCCATTTCCTTCTCGAACGCTCTATGTAAATAGAGGAGCGTCGTCGTCGCGATACCATCGGAACCACCGGCAAAGAAAGCACGTCGATAAGATAAACCACCGCGCGCGTATTCATCTATGTATTTGGGTTGCTCGGAAAGTTCGTAGAGTAATTTATGTCGTCGACCACGCGATATCAAAACAGCTTCTTATCGAGAAAATTGTTCGGTAGTTGAAAGCGCGTTGATTCCACTGTCTCGTTCCGCTTGACACTTTATCTACCGCTCGTAGTTGGGCGCGGATTCGTCGCCAGTACCGGGCCGGTTTTGGCTATTGCGCGAAAATAGTGCGACGGTTGAACGGTTATCGTTCAGGCGTTTCTCTTATTTTTAACCCCTTGCCTTACGATTTTTTAACGATTACATATGCTACAGTCCGTTCAATTTAAGAGTAACCTCGTTTCGCAGGGCTAGAACGTCCAAACCCCCACTTAACCGCCTACGTTTTCCTCCGTCTTACCCTCTGCTACGCTCTCTGTCTGTGCGCAGAACGGACGAGAATCGGTCCGAGAGCGAGGTTACTCTTAAGTTGAACGGACCTTAGCTTCGACTATTCGCTGTTTTAAAACAGCGTTAAATAGAAGAAAGTGGAAGTATTGTATAATCTTTCCACTTAGTAATCGTCGATCTTAAATTCAAGCTGAAGTTGGAGTAAAAATACAATTCCCCGTTTGTCGCATCTTGGCTATAATCTGCAGCACGAGTGTGACACGTCATAATCAGGCAAGGGGTTAATTTTCGAATATGTGCGCCGTTGATTAACGAGCGTGGTCGATGATCGCCCGATGGCGCATTGGTTCCGCGGAAACCTTTTCCTTTTGTTTTTCGTGTCGCGCGAGTCTCGTCACGTATGAGATGTATCCAATATCACCCTTTTGCAATTGTCAAAAGTTGATAAATAAATAGTGACTCCGTTTACCAACGTGCGAACGTGAAACAGGAATTTCACCCAAAAATCAACCAAAGGAAAACGAGGGACCGATCCCTAGATCCTTCTAATCCGAAAATCGTCGATTTCAGAGGTCGACGATCCTCGAGTACCGAAAACCCGACGAATCGGCCAGCGATAGATAAAGTGTCAACTTTCCACGCACCGCGTCGTGTCGTCTTTGCTTCACATTTTCACGCAGTGCTCCAACTGGCTCTCGCATTCGAACCCTTCGAAATCTATTCACGCGCGACGTGTACGAATGAATGAACATCAATGGAGACGATACACAGATACATGTTAAATATCGAAGAAAATTGATACTCACTGTACGTAAAACGGCAGAAACGGTGTGATTACTTTCACCGCCAACGAGGGTAATATATCCGCGAGTAATATCGCACCGGTGGATAGCGTGTTGCATGATCGTACACCTGTCATGTTAATCGGCGGTGCTGCGGTGCCGTTTGTGTGCACCTCGCCGTGATCCTTTAACACAGACGGAAACGAAACCAAGAGGAAGAGAGAAAAAGGAGGGAAGAGAAAAAAAAGAGAAAAGGTTCGATTAGTACAGAAAATTTGTCAACGGACGTGAATTTTTTTTTCAAGACTCGTCGTCTCTCGTTTACGTAAAACCGGAAAATCAGCTTCGCCTATTATTTTCCCATAATTCGGTCGTGTGGAGCGTTCGAAGTATGTAAGTACATGCTGCATACGGTGCGGAAGTTATCGGGTTCAGGCATCTACTTTTCACGGACATTACCACCTTGAATATCGCGGAATATTAATTCCCGTGGTTGTTCGCCGGCTTACGTAAGGTTAATTCGCGTTCTAAGAGCGCCGGTATCGCGGTCGAAAGACGGTATGCGGAGGAAGGGAGAGGAAGGTAGTCTATAAGACGATACGAAATATACGCATACATTTGTCGATGACATAACGCAAAAATTCCTCGTACTCGTGAGAGAATCTGTTCGATCCCGAAGACGTAATTCGTCTTAATTGCTCCCCGGCTCTAATGACTTTTTCATCTCCCCCGCTTTTCCCTTTTCCCGCCACGCCGCGACGCTGTCGCTTGTTAGCGGTCGTCTCTTTCGTTTGCGCTTGGGTGGCGACAGGAGCCTGTATCACGAGGAACGTCGTTTAAACGATGCTATTAATTGTCGTGACGAGCCTCGTCGAGACTCGTTGCAACCAGACGTCGTAAAGCGCCGGCTAATTAAATTGTAAAGTTTTACGGCCCGCGAGGAATTCCGCGGGAACGATACGCCGCGACCGCGTCCCGATTGCGTCTGATTACGCAGGAGAGTTGATTCGATTCGTTGTCGCGAGTCGTGTGCGCCGTTTACGGAAGCTTTTGGGAGCGTTTCGAAGGAACGAGAAAGGGAAATTTTGTCGAATCTGGAGCGTACAGGGTGGGCCAAGTAAAACAGACGAAATTAGCTTGTCTAACTTTTTGATACGTAAACAAATTCTGATAGGTACTTTAGACGGTTTCGAAGGATGAATGTGGTGGGAGAAATTTGTTTTTCTGTTTTTTTTTTTTCGAGGTCATCGCTTATAAATTTAATGGGAAAATGCAAAAGTGCGATGAAATTCTAATTCGTAGCACTAATTAAGTTTTATATTGAAATTAACAGAGTGAAGTTTATCATACTCGCTTAATTCAGTTTTTATTGCAGTTTTACTGCATTTTATCGGATGCGATTAAACATTTAACTGGTAGTGTATGTTCATTCACGTGAATGTACGTTGTAGTAGACATCGATGTGCATTTAATACGATCTTAAAATGATCTTGCATTCGTTTCTTCCGTGAAGAGAATCGTCCTCCTACCTTATTCGCCCTTTGAAACCGTTTAAACTACGCATAAACTGTCCGGTATAAACAATTAAGCGGTCCATCCTCCGTATCGTCCCTAATCCCGATTTAATCGTCGGAACAAAAGCCGCGTCAACGCGTCTGACAAGGTCTAGCTGACGAGCGTGGCAAAACAATGTCCGAAAAAAGGCGTGAAAATCGTTGGTATACAAAACAACGAAGAAAGAAAAATACTTCTCGGCAATTAACAGCACAGTCTATGCAAAGTCAATTCCTTTTCGAACGCATTTACGTACGACGTGAAATACACCGAAGCAAACAGAAACGATTCGAAAAGAATTTCCATCTCGGTATCGATATCTATAAATCACTCCGGAAATGGAGATACCGAGTGTATTTAAAATAGCCTGCAGCTGTGTAGGCGTGAGCTGAGACACTAAACGAGCCAATGGTGTCGTAACGTCACAGACGTGATTTACCGATCGCGAGTTGAAAAGGAGGAGACGTAAAATTTTCGACCAATGACAACATTATCCCCGGTTTCCCTCGTAGATTCACATAATGTGATCCGGTGTGTGAAACGCGTTACAAACGGCTCGTTTCCTCAAACTTTTCCACTTAGGCCCCCGCGTCGCGTTCTTCTGGCAACAGGAGCATCGCGTCGAGTGACAAAGTGGAATCGAATCGATACACAATGGCCTAATCGCGGTGCAGTAACGCGACTGGACGAATCGGTGATTCATCGAGTCGTATACAGAGAGTACGGTTGCACAATTCAGTGCACACGACGATCGTTACACTTCAGCAACTTCACCGATTCGGTAGAAACGGTGCCACGTATTTATCGCCTAACGAGATGTCGCAATTGTCTTTGGTGCCGTTTATCGCGCCGAGCAAACACGAAAAATCTCGGAAAGCTTTCAGCCCGCTTCCTCCCGGTTCGACGTTTCTTTCGCAACCGATTATCTCTACGGCTCTCCCGACTAAGATCGACGTGTACACAGCTGTTCTAACGTGGAACAGACGAAAGGTTTCGCGTACTCAATCTTAAGACGCGGAGGATTGAGGCCGACCGAGAAACTCAACGACGCGAGACAACCGAGACAATGCTAAATTGCCACGTGAAGAGTACACCGTGAGTTTGATATACGTCGGTGGTTTGTCACGGTCTTGTATCGTTGCCGGAAACGGAGGGATCGTTCGATTCTACGATACGAACTTCGTCACGAAACGAACCTGTCCGGATTCTACGGTACCGTTAATTAGAACCTCGTGACTCCAGTTCGGGCTTAAGTGACACTAAGAATAGCTGTTCGTAGTTCTCGTCGCGAGTGTCGCGTTTCACCGTTTCATTTTTCTGTTTGTCTTCTTTTTTTTATTTTTTGTTCGAATCTGGGAAAACAAGAGTACACTGAAGAAAATCGCAGGAAAATGAGACACCTTTCCCTCAGTTCCTGCGAGCCTCTTTTTAGCAATCTACCGTTCGAAGCTGATTCGCCGCAAAGAAGACGAAAGAACACCAAAGCTACTCACCACCTTGCCGAATTTGCTTTCCAGGATATCGTGAGCCGCGCTGAGCATCACCACGTATCCGTAGTTGTTGCACAGCCCGAGGATCCAGAAGGCCGCGAGGTTTCGCCATCTCGATCGTATCGCTATCGATTCTTCGTCGAACACGTCGTTCGAACGCTTTTCAGGCACTGCCAAAGATTTGCCCTTTGCCATTTTCAGTATACACACTCGTCTCTTCTTTTCCTCTCTCGTTTCACCGCTGTCTTTGTTCGATTCGCGCTACTCCTTTCTGTGTCCTTTTCCCCCCTAGGTAAGTCCTGCTTTCGAACCTTTTCTCTCCTCCCGCACGCCTATGTAGCGGTGCTGTCGTAAACGAGCCTAAATGGAGCACATGGACCTTCTAAATCTGTTACAGCGTATCCAGCAGATTCTCTCTTTCTCCGCTTCGTTCCCTCTGTCGTGCTCCTTCTCCCTGGTCTTCAGACGATTCTCCTTTTCGAGCAAGTCTAAAGCAGAATCAGCAGCAAGCTTCGAGAAACTTCCTTTCGTTGCTGCGGTGTTTCCTTTCCACTGCCTTTGCAACCGTGTAGAAACGTATCGCGAGCTTCCCAACTGCTACGGTTTTAGCGAATTTCCCAACGGAACTCGACGTGTTATTACCTCGATCGCCACTCTGCGATCGCAAACCTTCTACCAGTATAATTATCCCGCAGGTATATATTTTACCACGGTGAAAAGACAGATTTCTCTACCTGCGCTTTTTCACGAGTAAAAACTCGATTATCCTCAGCTTCCTTTTTCTCCGAGGAACTAATGCTGTATACTTGGTAGATTTTCTCGTTTGAAGTTCAAAATCAAGGTCTGTCTCCTCGAATCGAGCGATCGATCCACGGATCTCAAGGTTTTCGTGAAAGGGAACGCAAAATCCTTGAAACGAGAATACGCTACTTACGATCACTTGCTCGTTCGCTAATTTATTCCCGGCGATTTGGTCCAACGAACGCTCGAGAGTTGAGCGATTCCTCGAGGAAATTCGGGATTTCTCCGGTCGATGGAAATTTAAGCAAATTCGCGTCGCTGGAAGCGTGACCTATGATAACACGTTCAGCTCCTTTTTACTATAAACACTTTTCCCTCTGAGCGTTGAAAAATTGACAGGCAGCAACGGTAAGAGTTCCGAGAAACTTCTTTCTCGCTTTCTTCAACACGATGCAGAGCTCGATCTCCAGCTAATTCTCGCTTTCTCGCGCTGGCAAACGCGATCCAGTCGAATATCCGTCGCGTTCGACAGTCAGGTACACAATTGAACAACTCGAATGATTTCGCTGTGTCTTGTCCGTCGCGTGCCTCCCCTCTCTTCCTCGCGTTGCGTTCTTCTTTTCTTCTATTCTTATCGAAGTCGTGACCGCGTGGTTATCAGCGGCGTTAATCAGCCGCCTATACACGGAACGTGCTGCAACCACTAATCTCGGGAAATCACGTTCGACGAATGTTCTTCCCCCGACGATATCGAATCTTTCTCTCTTTTCTACTGCTTTCTCGGTTCGTCGGTTCCTCGATGAGTTTAGACAAGCGTGGGCTTGCACGATGCGTGGCGATCGTGTGGGCAGGTCGATATTTTCATAGGAAATCGGTGGACATCACGGTGACTGACTCCAGCCAGGAGGGAACTGTTAAAACAGGAAAGACAGCGAGCGAACGCGTCGATTAAACATGCAGATTCGACGATGACCAATCGTGGCTGTTAAATGTGGCTGAGTTACGTGTATTAGGAGATGAGTTCTTTCCGAATTTTGGGTGAAATCGAAGGTTTTTAGTTAAACCTTGTGTCAGTAATCACGATTTTCGTTTCTTTTTCTCGTAGAATTTCAGTAGCTTTCTGATAAGAGAATTGTAAACTTGAAGCGAACTAGGAAACGTGTCGAGTAACGACGATCCTTTATCGGGAAGATCAAATATTTTAAGTGAGCAAATATGTAAAACAGTACGCGGTTGTTGGCATGAGGGTTAAGAAGAGTGAAAACAGTGAAAAATCGAGATAATTCCCATTATTGGCAACGGACACTTGCCATTTTCCGCGAATACCATCGCGATAGAAACTCGGTGGCTTTGAATCAATTACGTGAGTCCAGTTGGAAAGAATTCATTTCTGCGCGTATATTAGGTCGTCCCATAAGTTCGTGCCGAAAGCGAAAAGTATTTAAATGAAAATCTAAGAAAATTCTGTATCGACGACGTAATGACCATACCAAAGAGAATAGGAAAAAGTTGCGGAATTAGAAGATATTTACACGTTTTGTTATCAAATTTAAAGGTTCGTTGGAAATATTGATCTAAATTACAAAATTAAACACGAACTTATGGTATGACCTAATACAAAACGTACGAACAGCGGCAAGCGGCTGATTTTCACAAATACATAGATCGCCGACAGAATCCTGATCTTGAGTGTTGACTCTGACGTGGTTCTCCTCTCGAATCGCGTGGCCAACTGGTAATAACGTTCGTCGACGCGTAGAAATCGTTCAAGTCGCAATAACCGATCAATTTTATCATTCTCCTTTTTTTCTACTTCCTCCTTCGTCTTGTTTCTTCCGCGGAAAGATACGATTGATTTAGATACCGATCGCTAACGATTACCTTAGGAATGCAGATACGAAACCAGAGAGAGAGAAAAAAAACGAAACAATTTACATTACAGCTTGGGCTAATTTTCATAAAACCAGCGGAAAACGGAGGGAGAGTAGTCGGATTAGTGGTTTTATTCCGCGGTGAATAAACACGAGTCAATTGCATTAAAAATCATCGCGTCCTTCGGAGCGATTTTCTCGCCTCTGTAGGTATACAGAGACGATCGTTCGCTGGACACGCGTTCCCTCCACCTTTCCTCCCAAAGGACTATTTCGGTCGTGTAGCGTCGGCCTCGAGACGTTTCTCGTCGTCAATCGACGTATCAAGCATTTCTTACCTACACCGCTAATCAACCATGTTCACGATTATTTACAATTATTCGTCCTAATGATACGGATAATAACCCTGTTACGACATCTTTATTATCCATTATCTCCTATTACGTGACAATCTTGAAAAAAGAAAAACGATTTCCTCATCCCTAATTCGATTTTCTTCCTATCGCATCCGTACAGCGATTGTGTTTATCGAGCTTCAGCGTAACGAGCCGAGTTTTCGAAGTTTTATCGTAGTTCCGGCGCGAGAGAGAGAGGGGGGGGAGATTAATATGCAGAGTAGCTTGGAAGCGTCGTTTATCTCGACGCAGCGAACAGCTTCCGGCAGCGAGGTCCGTTTTCCTCGAGAGCGTTTCTAGGTTCTCTAGCCTGGAGGCTCTTTCGAGCGTGCAATACGTTGCCCCACGTTCGAGATACGCGCGCGACTATTGTCGGAAAGTTGGCCGGCAACGCGATCCGTTTTCCACGATAACCGAGTTCAACTTTGTTTCGCGGTCATGCCACTTTTTTTTCTCCTCTCTGCCTTCACGCGATCAACCGTCGTCGATCTCTGTCTCGCCGAACGAGAGCCTCTTCCGTGAAAGGCGGCGCTAAACCTGGCCAGGTTGCAGCGTGACTCATTAAACCGCGTTCCGCGGAAGTGGATATTTTCGAGTCGAGTGAATGAAAACCGTTACGAACTTTCCAATTTTCCTCTCGAAGCGACGGAAGAAGTTCTTCCAGCTATTTCCGTACCACGAACGCAGAAAACACGCTGTACCCTCCGTGAAAACTTGCCGGACGATGAGTCACTTGGAGCGATCGAAGCGTTTCTCGCTGGCTCTCGACGCGCTCTCGTCGAACGGCGTCTCTCAGACGCTCTGTCTCGTGTGTAAACATTGAAAAGTCCGCGTTTCGACGGGAGAAACGAAGGGGAATTGGAGCGGTTCGAACGCGATACGATTAGAACGGGGGGTGTCAGGCGGTGGACGACGATTTCACAGCGGGCACAGAGATAAAGTGCGAACGAGCGTGATATGCAGAAAGTCGGTGGAACGATCGACGTGGAGAACAGCTGCCTATACGCGGAATTATGCACCGTTTCCGACGAAAGAAATCGTGACACTCACCTATGGCAACGGCGCGTTGATCCAGGAAAACGATGCTCTGCGTCCCCGATAACGGGAAACCTCTCAGATATCGCTGGGCTGGAATAGATCTAAAAAGCTCCTCGTAAAGCAAAGAATTATCACAAAAGCACAGATCACAGAGCGTTAAGGACGATTCTGAGTGTATCACAGGGACGATCGTGAACCGAGGGAGAGAGAGCTCGTGAAAGAATCGATTTTCTTCACTTGCACACTGAAACGAGCTTCGCCCCCTTTTCGAACTGCTCTAAATGAAAAATCGGTAACGTTCCGCTTAGGCGAGATGTCGCGTGGTAGTTTCTAGAAGAACTTGGTGTGCTCTAGTGCTGTAAGAAAAAAGGATTCGCCGAGCACTTGCAGAATCAGTCGAATAGGCGCATACAATGCAACCTTTCCTCCTCCACTCTCTTTCGATTTTCCTCTGCACGATTCTTTCCACCTGGAGTTCCCCACTCGCCGATCACTCCTTCCCTTTATCCTTTCTCCCGACCTCCTCTCTCTCTCTATGTATATATCTATCTCTCTTCCTTCCTGTATTTCTATACAGAGTATAAACTATATCGTACTAGGTTTCGTTTCTGGCGAAGTGACGTTTCGTTGGTTCGTCCGAGATCACCGCGATCGAGACGCGAACTCGTGAAAAGACCAGAGAGTACACAACAGAGAAACAATGAAAAAAAAAAAAAACAAAGAGACGAACCGACTTGTAAGTGATGCGAACTCGCAGCTGCGACTTGGTTGAGAAGCACGTGGTTGCCGCGGCGAGTCTCAGGTTCGAAATAAATAAGCTCCAGGCGAAATCAGCGAGTTATACGAACGCGACGCAGGCGCGAGCGCTTCGCTCGACTCGGCTCGGCCAAACACGATCGGCAATAAGGCATTCCGCTCGCGCACTCTGCCCCCGAACTGTTCCAACAGGCTAGACAGAACCGAACAGTCGGCTCACGACCGTCCTACCGGCCGATTCTTCCTTCTCTCCTACAAGCTTTTCCTGTTTCCCCTCCCCTCCCTCTCTCTCATTCTCTCTCTACCCTTACTAACCGAGAAGACGAGACTCGCGTGGATCGTTGCCAGCGCGTTTGCTCCGATTTTCAAACAGCTTGTTACCTACTGCCACGCACACCGCCCCGTCGAGTTGCTCGTTAAGACCGAACGCAGGCAGATGATGGGTTTTTAATCGAATTTTATTGACTCGCGATAGATACGGGTTGTATCACTCGCCGGAAATAGACTCGACGCACCCACGGCAGCAATTGCACCCCTGAACGAGTTTGACATTTGATCCTGCAACGACCCGATGATTCACGTGCCGACAATTCTGTTGTAGTACGCATGATTAACGCGTAATCGTCAGGATAATGAGGAACGTTGATTGCCCGCGTCCGTCGCGGTAACTCTTTTCACTTAGAGCTTACGAAACGATCTGCTTGTTACTAACGGTCCGCGGTGAATTAGCGAAACGAGCGAAGAACGACGTCGGGAGAATAGGAAGTTGGAGCAGATTTTTGGGGAGAGTATGCGATGCTACTTGTTTTCCGAGAAATTCTACGGTAGTAGACCGCTGGCCTTCGCTTCGAATTCATTCCGCAATAGATTTCACGCGTGTGTGTGTGGTTTAGCCCGTTTTACGGCTTCGCGAATCGCCGGAAACGCGGCGAAGAAACGCGAGCCGTCCACGCGACACCGGCAATCTTTCTTAATTCCGTTCCTGCGCGCGCTCAATTAGCGTGTCACTTTCGTGACGGACACGCGTGGTGCTTATTTTTCCATGTACCGCTGTTTCCGCGGTGAACGAAGGTCGCTGGAGACAATTGTACCGTGGCTGACCGTCGACGACGGGCGTCCTCACGCCGTGTCCTTTCCCGGTGAACCGTTAACAGACCTGATTACAGTCTTCTTACGCGATTACGTGTCGAATCTCCTATCGTTTCTCCGTTCGTCTTCTTCTGTTTTCTCGTGGTTCGCCGCCGTCGACCAGAGGGTCTGTGCGATTAACGCAGAAACAGCTGATAACGGAGAGCGTAATTCATGTACAGCGAGCGACGATGACGTTAGCAGCTTGACGAACGACATCGTTAACTGGTCATTCATCGGTAACGATAGGAAGGATCGCCGAGGTTCCCTGACCAACTCGGAAGGTCGTCGCCGTTACGTTTCCTACAGTTCGGCTTTATTGGTCGAGCAATGTCAAGCGATATTAATTCAGAGCGGTGTGCTTCCTAGAGAAAACAGTGTCAGGGCTGAACGGGGACCTTCTTTGCACCGCGCATAACAATATTTCGTGGATTTCGCGGGATCGAAGAATCATCGATCGATCGGATCTTTCACCGAGTCATTGCTCATCTGCATCCTAGACGCGTGCACGCGTTCTTCGTTCATTCCGGTTCCGTTTTTCTTCTTCGAGGGGAATGACGAACTGGTGTTGGGGAATCTTTGAGAGATGATCGACGTTTTGATGGGTTTTACGGTGATTGTGCATTGTAAACTGGAGAATATTGTGCCACGTGGAAATATGTATTGTTGATTTCATGTGGTCGATGAAGTATGGGACGATGAACTGCTTGACAGTGTGATTTCTCATCGGTACTCTTCGTTGCTTAGTTTCCTTTTTTTTTTTTTAACGAGTGACGAACGAGACCGGGAATCTTTCAGAGATGACCAACGTTTCGATAGGATGTTGCAGCGATTCTGCACCCTATACTGGGGAACTTTGCATCACGTCTAAATATACGTTGTAGATTTAATGTGGGTGAGGAACTATGTAACGATGAACTCTTTGACCGCGTGATTTCTCATCTGCACCCTTCGTTTCCTTCTTCTTTTCTAATGGGTGACAAACGAGACCGGGAATCTTTTAGAGATGACTAACGTTTCGATAGCCTTTACAGTGATTCTGAACCCTAAATATATGCAGTCGATAGTGTCCTTCGTTCCTCCGTTTCTTCTTCATTTAATTTTTTTGAATGAATGACAAACGAGACCGGGAATCTTTTAGAGATGACTAACGTTTCGATAGCCTTTACAGTGATTCTGCACCCTAAACACGTGCAATCGATAGTGTCCATCGTTCCTCCGTTTATTTTTTCCTTTTTTTTTTAATGATCGACAAAAGCCCTTCCTTCCTTCGTTTCCTTTTTTCTCAGAAACGACCGACATTTCGATAGTCTTCTCAATGATTCTGCACCCTAAACACGTATACTCGACAATATTCCACGTCCCTCGATTTCCTCTTTTTCAATAAATAACAAACAAATTCCAAGGAATCGTTCGGAGACGACCAACGTACCGATACTCTTCAGAAATGATTTCCGAAATAGAACGATCAACTCAAACCCGCCACCTTATTTTTAGCCGAACCGCTATGACCCATGTGGCACGGTGTTGCAGCGTCAGAATAAATTCTTTCAGCGTTCGTTCAAACGGCGCGAATTGTCCTAGCAGTGAGAAGGCGCTCGTTGCAAAATCGCTCGATTAAGGTCACACTTGATGAAATGTATTAAGCCAATATCTTTTGAAGAAACGAGCGGCCGTGCTGGAGCTCGCGTTATCAGGAGATTGTCGGCGCGCGCGGGCGATGCGGGTTGGCCGTGCAGAATCCCGCGCGCCAAAAATAACAACTGGGTCATTTTAGAATTTCAATTACCGGCGGCAGAGTCGTCGTCGTGGTCGTCGTAACCTGTAACGATCGGGGTCGCGAGCATTGTAACGTTTGAATCGTCTCGCGGAACGGGTCGAGAGCATGGAAATCTCAACGAGGAGCGTAATTTCGTTTCGGTGACGCGCGCGACTCGCCTCGCCTCGCCGCTTGTCGGTTTGACTAGCAACGTGCCGCGTGTAATATTCGCTGTCCGTGTGCCAGACATTATGTAATTCTCGCGAACAACAAATTGTAGATGAGAACAGTGAATCCGTACGAATATCTATTTCGCGAGAAAGACGATCCTATTGTCCGCGTCTAGGAGCAACTATATCTGGTACGGAGTTGAGATAACCCCTATCGTGACATCGGTTTTGCAGTTCCACGAGTGGAGGAATGTATTAGTTGCATCGAGACGGATATCGATCGACAAGATCGATAATTCAATGGAACGATTGTGTTCTTCTCTTTTATCTTTCTTAATGACAACCCGAAGTGATGGTCAACGATATCGACGAATCTTTGGTGTACGATGGTAATCTTTTTCAGTGGCAATCGGCAAAAATGGGGTTATAAACATATTTGGTTTTGTAGCTTTTTTTAATTACTTTTTATTTTTCAAATTTCTTCCTGAAAAATAGAAAATTCGCGAACGTACACTGTCCCCCTACCTATCTCTAATAATTTTCGAGGTATTGAACTAAACACACCGTTTTCTTCTTTTTCTCTCTCTTTCTGACATCCCGAAATGATATCCAACGATATTGATGAAACTTTGGTGTACGACAGTAATTTTTTTAGTGGCAATCGTCCACATTGAAGGGGTAAAAATCACCCTCAAAAATTGGGGTAAGAAACATGTTTCATCTTATATTTTTTGTTTTTCAAATTTCCTGTCGAAAAATAGAAAATTCGTCAAAGTACACTGTTCCTCTGTCTCTAATAATTTCCGTGGTATTCAACTAAACACATCGTCTTCTTCTTTTTCTCTCTCTCTCTTTCTGACATCCCGAAATGATAATCACCGATATTGATGAAACTGTCACAATCGTCCACAAAAGCTCAAAAATAGGAATAATAAAGATATTTCAACTTTCTTGCAGAAAACTAGAAAATTCGTCACCTTACTTCCAATTCTTTTCGATTCCAATAATTCTCAAAGTATCACACTAAACATATTTACCATCTCCAAAATTTCACAACAATTTTCACCCCTTCACCGTGGATAATTACCAATTTAAAGAAATACGCGTCGAATATTTTCTCCAGAACTACCGCACACCAAAGTTTCATCAATATCGGCGATTGTCACTTAGCGGTGTTCCTCTGCGAGTGTATCTTTTCTTCTACCATTAATCCTGTGGAAAATTTCTAACTCACTCGAGGGGAATTTAATTGGATTAACGCGTACGAGTACGCTCGTTATTTTGTAATAATGAGACGATACCGGATCAATGACGGCGACGAAGATGATTAACGCGATAACGGTAATCGATTAGAAAAAAAACGGCTGCCCCTTCGATTGCAATTATTTACATTCCTGTCGGCGTGGTTGTCAGGTTATCGCGTGCGCTAAATACCAAAGGTCTTCGGCGGTCGATAATAAAGAAGGTTCGTTGGAAAACACGCGTGTTCCGCGGAAACATTGTTTCTTTCGACAGCTGAAATTGACCAATTGTTACGACCAATTGGCAGTTTTAAAAAGGCATAAATTTCGTGTAGCATACACGTGCACTGAATAATCGGGGATATTCGCGTAATTCTATTTACATAAGCTTAAACTTGGAAAAAGAAAGTGCTGAAAGTATAAATTTAGCGTTCGAAGAATTGAGACACTTGAACGTTGATGTGTAACATTCAAGATCGGTGACACTTTATTGGAAAATGAGTCAAAAGGAAGGCTAGATAAGGCCTGGGGTGATAACGTTTCAGTATAAACGATTGAAAACAATCTAATAAAGAATATGAAATTTTGCCACATCTTCCCCTATTCGCACGATTTCTTCCCAATGGGCTACCATTTTTTCAAACTTTTTTACCAAATAAATCGTTCCGAAATTAAGACGCCGGGAAAG